CGATGCAGCTAAAAAATATTTGAATAGTCGTAATCAGCCTTATTAAATGACGCAAGAATCAACTCTGATAAAAATTACATTAGCATAATTTATTTCGTTACGAAAACGCACAAGGCTCTCATTACACAAAAAGACAGTTATGGAAAATAAAAAATCCACCTCGTTTGAATAATCCAGAATTATACATTCATAATAATAACGAATTTCGGATTTTATCGACAGCAAAAAAGATTAAATAAATAGTCTTTAAACCGAAACATACGCCTTTTATCACTGTATTTGTTAAAAATAATTCAATAATTTAATGAATAATGTGGAGGAAATGACTAAATAAATACAAAAAAATTTCACTAGATAGCAGCACAAATGTCGACATAAAAGAATAATAGAATTGTAAGTCATCCTATGAATGTGATAACTCCAATAAAAGTCGAGTTGATATTCAATTAATTCGAGTTATACGCAACTCAACGATACGATGAACGTAACTTTGAATAAATCAATTTTTTTGTGTACAAAGGAATATGTACAAAGGAAATTTCGTTACGATATAAAATAATATTAATATTTTATATATTTATTAATAATATTTGTTTTTATTAAAATACATATGGCTTAGCAAGTCTAGGCATTTTTCATTATAAAAGTTCTAAAAAAAAAAGACAACTACTAGGTAAGTTAGTTTTATTGCTCTTAGTTGTTACTTCAAATAAGAGCAATAAAACAATGTCATCAAGCCTCAATAATATTGTTAAAATATATGTAGTGAATTATTATTCATTCACTCAATATTATGTTATAAAAATATCATTAAAAAAAACGACGATTTTTAAAAAAATGGTCGTTTTTTATGTTTATATACTAAAATAAAAAACAAAAAGCGGAGCGCAGAATTCAGTTTGTTATTGAAGATTTCCTGCTTAAAATTTAACAAATCAAAAACTAGATTATCTTTGTCAGATGGTCATCTTACAGGCATTTTACGCATAGGTGCTTCTAAAACTCTAGCTGATATAGATGAGCTGTGCAAACAGAAAAATGTGAGACATCTCATTAATTGGATTTTAAGAATATCTTTAATGCCTGCTATGACCTAAAAGACATAGTTACAGTAATCCTATTAATATTATAAAGGCGAAAGTTTGTAAGTATGGATGTATGGATGTTTGTTACTCTTTCACGAAAAAACTACTGGACGGATTTGGATAAAACTTTACAGCAATATAGGTTATACATCAGAATAACACATAGGGTACTTTTTACTGGGAAAACTTCTCACTCCCACGGGATACCGACTTCCACGCGGACGAAGTCGCGGGCGTCCACTAGTAATAATATATTAAGATTTATGTAACGTTGGTTTTTTTATAAAGAATAAACAAACCAAAACGGAAGGACAATTTGTTTTTTTTTTTCAAAACAATATTATGTTAGACAGCCATGGTAAGATTTTTATTTTTAATTGGCTAAACGAACTTTAACCATATTTTCATTAGCAAGATGAAAGTGAAATAGGTCTGTATGAATTGGGATTAACTTTCTTAGTTTATTATGTTTCAGTACGGGAATAACACATTGTTTTCCGTGACTGTGGTATTATTTGATTTTTCCAGAATTCAATACATTATATAACAATAGGCATAACTAAAAATATTTTTTGGACATTATTGTGGAGTTTTTTATATATAAAAATTTAGAAAAAGTCATCGAGAATATAGTATTTCTACTTGACCGACTCGTTCTAAATTCGTACTTGGGCAACTGTAATCGGGTTGTAGGCTTGCTTGTCGTGGGTAGTAAATGTCTGTAGAAGGTGGAAGGATGGATTACTTTATATATTTTTTTTCGGCTCTCAACCTTAGGGGTTCGAAACTACCTTTTCAGAGGTGGAAGGAGGTGGTGAAGCCTTCATTGGATACCTCACAGCCAGCTGTGAGATTATATCAGACTCTTACTGACTAAACACCGCCTTGGACAGTTGGTTACGTGCCCTGAAGAGGCAACGAAACTTCGACCGGAGCGACTGCCCCCCGCAAGGGTGGCGCCGCAGACGTCCCAATTATCTAGGCTCATCGGATTGATAACACAGCTGACTCCCTGAAGGGGAACGATCAGCCAGATCAGAACAGGGGTAAAGCTATCATGTACCACCAGAATGTCGCTACGTGATGCCCTTTAAAAATCGTGCGGCCGTCACCCAGCGGGGGTAGTGGCCGAAGTGAACGGAGACGCGGGTTGACGTTCAGAGGCTTTGATGCACCACTTTTGAATAGTGGGAAGATCGAGGTCCCTATGTAGAACCGCGTTGAGGATGTAGTAGGGGGCGTTTGCCGCTCGGCAAAAGAGGTTTGGCCCTATTTGTAATTTGTAGAGGACTTTAGGGTCGGCGTGGATGAATACGGTAGAGGAGTACATCATCACCAGCCATATGCAGACTTTGTACAGCGTTCGCTTATTTCGAAGAGACATTTTACTATGTCGGCCCAGCATAGGACTGATCTGATACATAAACGTCGGGCGGTTTGAGTGACTCTATTGACGTGAAGAACAAAAGAGAGCTTTTGATCGAACGTCACGCCAAGATATTTGGAGTATTTTTGCCAGGGAATGCGTTTCCCTAGCATTTGGAGGGGACATTTGAGGGGGAGGGCAACGTCTCTTAGTGTCAAAGCAAGCGGCAGAAGATTTTTCCGGGTTTACCTCGATACGCCATTTGCGAAACCAATCACCTAGAGCATCAATAGAAGATTGAAGCCTGGAAAGGATTTTGGGCAAATTTAGAGCAGTATCGTCCACGAAGAGGGAGAGTTTCACTTCCTGAAGGGGAATGGGTATATCGTTTGTGTACACTATGTACAAGAGAAGCGCAAGTACTGAACTTTGCGGGACCGGGACGGGAAAGAGATGGTACCTTCGTGTTTGAAACGAAAGGTGCGATGTTCTTGAAGGGAAGCTACCAAATGAACCAATCGTAGGGATGGGTTCAGTCTGTGTAGCTTGACGATGAAGGCTGAGTGTCAAACCTTATCGAAGGCTTTGGCAATATTGAAAAAGACTGCTACAGTCTTTTGTATGCGAGGGTAGAAACCGGTGGAGATGTACTCCACGATGCGGTGATCTTGTTGGGGATAGGAGTGTTTGACTCTGAAACCGAATTGGTGGAGTCATGATCATGAGAACCAGTTCGGGATCGAAGAGGTGTTCCCTCATGCGGGAGAGTATACATCTTTCCAAGAGTTTCCCTAAGGCCTTAAGATTTTTTTATCGTACTTGCAAGTAATTTTATATGACTTTCAATAATTTTATTTTTAATTAGAAGTAGTTCTAAAATATTTACTCGTAGTTTGCTACAAAATTTCTCTAAATATCGCGCTAACACTTCGACGGCTGATAAGGATCGAGCATTAAGGTAAATTATTAACCTCTTTGGTATTTATAAACAATTCTCATTTGAAGAGTTAACAACGTCATCGGTTCTTATTTTATCATATTTCTTTGAATTAATAAAAAATAAAACAACATCAGTGGCGGCTTTAAGAATTTCTACGGCCATAGGGTGATCAGTCTTACGATTTCACAAGTTTTCAAGCGTGCTATTACAGTCAAAATCAGAATTTTTATTACTTTTTTCTAGTAATATTTTCGTTTATGCTCTCCTGAGCACGGACACTTCATATGAACGCATATTTTTCAAATCTGATGGCTGATGGGGCGGTGGCTAGAGGAGAGGTTGGGAGTTTCTCCGGTTTAGGGAGGCCTATTAGGATTGCATCGTTCCATATGGTTGGAAAGTAGCAAAGATCGAAACAGGCATTCAAAATGAGAGTGATGACCTCTGAGGGGAAGAATTTCAGGGCCATATTGGAGATGCCATCGGCACCTGGGGACTTTCTACGTTTTAGATTTTTTTGTCTTTCAGAAGAAACAGGCGAGGGATCATTTTGGGGGAGCCGGAGGGCAGTCTTGTATCATTGTAAAGATCGAAAAAGTAATTTAAGTTTTCTGTGCTTTCTTTGCTGTCTGAGATTTTTTTGGAAAAATGATTCAGTTAACTCATCACAATAATATTTGTTACTTATTTTAATCCTTTTAACAGCCAGTTGCAGAAACATTCGTTGGGGTCAAATTTGTATGGGTAATGTCGCTTTAAATTAATGAACATTTTAATTGACGTTTGTGCAACTGGCTGTAAATCTTTTAATATAATTCAAAATAGTTAAAATAGGTGTTGTTCTATTAAAGTTGTGACACGAATATTTCCAAATAGCCTTTTTTCCTATTTAATAGTTCTTTTTTAACTGCAGTAAACACAAAATTGTAAGAAATACCAGAAATATTTAAAAAAATTATAATCAAAATTTAGCTCCCTAAATCGAAATTCCGCCCATTGGGAGGAAAAAAGAGATGTAGGGATGTGATACTTTCCGAAATAGATCGATTTTTAAATCAATTCGTATCGTTACGTGATGAGTCGATTTCAAGAAATCTATCATTCTTCCAAGTTTGCGTTTACAATGTAAGTATAAATCCGTTCTATTAAAAACAAGATAATTATTACAGTTAACGCTTTTTTATCAGTAAAATAAGAGAATTTGGTATTAACAATTATTTTTATTAGCATATCAAAATATCAGATTAGGCATTTATTTTCTAAATGTATTGGAAATTTTTAATAAGTTAAGAAAATAGATAACATAGCTTATAGTTCTTACATGTTCATATTATAGCAACTAACAGAACAGGTTGAAAATAATAGCATCAAAATAAAAATCAAAACGCACTTTACTTAACTACGAGTTTTTGAGTAGTTAACCATTTAATCGGCAGCTCTTACTCTTACGATACAGGTAAATTCAACTAATGTTAATATTTTTAAGGTTTATAACAAAAGAGAAAAAAACGAATGTTGATTTTCAAGAATAAAATATCGAACCACTTAATCATTAAGTGCTAGATATCGATTTAAAATTCGATATTTTTTATTTTCTCGATGAATAGATTATTTGATTCTCGAAATCAGATGCATCCCTAAGGGAGAGGGAGGGTTCATGAAAATATTGGTTTGGTGTTTTCTTTTGTCGTGTTTCATAATAATTAATAAGATTTTCATACGCAAATCAATTAAATGCAATGTCTTTTAATATAAAAGATGTAACCCTCAAAGAGGATAGACCTAAAACATTATTGTTACAAAAGCACTCTGATTATTTAGCAACCTATGGACAAAATAAAGATGATTATGAATTTTGCATGACTGAATATCTACGAATGTCTGGAATTTATTGGAGCCTCACTGCAATGGAGTTAATGGGCCAGTCTTCCAGGTACGATAAGATGAAACATGCAGAAATGAAAGTTTTTTCCTTATAAATTTCTCCAAAATTCATTAAAAACAACTTTCCTGTTTTTCAGAATGCCTAAAGGAGAGATAATAGAATTTATTACATCATGTCAAGACAGTGAAAGTGGTGGAATATCAGCTAGCATTGGACACGATCCTCACATACTTTACACACTGAGCGCAGTTCAGGTATGCTTACATTACAAAACTAAGACCTTTTGCCGCCAAAAGAAAAATAACAATTTGAAATAATAATTGTTAACAATATATCTCTGCTATAATGAAGCTTCCCATAGATGAAATATTGTTTAAATCAGTCTAGTAGTTTCAGAGCCTACTCAATACAAACAAATAAACAAATCTTTCTACTTAATAATATAGCATAAAAAAATACGTACCATATCCAATAACATTTTAAGTTAATTATAACTTATTTAAAATAAAATATATTTTATTTAAATAAGTAGTAATTTACATTTCAGTGTATCGGGTTTAATTCCCTATAAAGTTAATATACAAAATCAACTTTTTTTATTGTATCTGGTATCTTTGTTGTTTTACATTTCTAAACAACTATGTTCTAAACAACTTATTGAATGATAAGATGTTGTCTAATATTTATTCATATATTTGATAACAGGTGCTTGCTATGTATGACAGATTGGATGCCATTGATGTTGACGGTGTTGTTAGATACATAGTATCTTTGCAACAAGAAGATGGAAGCTTTGATGGTAAATATAACCTATGACAAATGTATAAAAAATCAAAAATTTCAACTGTACGATTCATTAATTTGTTTAAATGTTTTGCCAATTTATAATTTTTAGCAACAATTATTGATGGGATTTCTACCATGTACCATATATTTTGTATAAATCTATGGTATTTGAGCACAGAGTCCAATGACTGCACTATACCATGGTGACTACACAGAATTCAGTTCACAGAAAAGACCTTGGTAAAAAAAAATACTAAAAATCTTATCAATAATTATTCCATGTCAACTCTAACCTGTGACCATGGCATTATAAAACAAAACAAAATATATAATTATGTTAAAACTAACCATATTTTGGCAACAAAACATCAAGTTGAACCATTAAATTCACCAACAATATTCTTATAGACAATTTTTAATTTATTTATCTTAATACGATAATTAAAGCCCAGAAGTTCTTAAAGTGAATGTAACAACAATTGTAATGTAAAAAAAGACAAACATAAGGGAAAACATAAAGACAGATGTAATATAAAAATATTTTTTTCCATTTGCAGGTGACAAATGGGGTGAAGTAGATACCAGGTTTTCGTTCTGTGCAGTAATGATCCTCTCATTATTACATAGGCTGGACGCTATCAATATAAACAAGACTGTTGACTTTGTATTGAGTTGTATGAACTTTGACTGTGGATTCGGATCTAAACCAGGCTCAGAGAGTCATGCTGGTATGTATTTTTAATGAAAAAATCAAAATCTACCATTTCACAGTTTCTATTACCAGACTAGTTGAAGTATTACACTTTAGCTGTCCTAGCTGACAGGTTTCTAATTTCTGCAAAAAAATAATTAGCTATTTTCAAAGCTGTGTGATATAAAAAAGTAACACTAAGTCCTACTTTTTTTATTTGATTACTAAACATCATAGGTTAAAAAACTGTTGCAGGCACTTTTTGTAGACATTTTAAAAAATACTGTGTTATTGATCATGTACAATATTGTAATTATCTTGTGTGATCAATTTTCTATTCACTATGATATTTTTCTTTAAAATGGTAATTTGTATGTACTTCCCAGGACTCATCTATTGCTGTGTAGGCACATTGTCAATCTGCAAGCGTATGGATGCATTAAGAGCCGATGAGCTTGCTTGGTGGTTGTGTGAAAGACAGTTACCTAGTGGAGGGCTCAATGGCCGCCCGGAAAAACTACCCGACTTATGCTACTCATGGTAAGAAAATATGCATCACAACACTTGGGTCATGCATCACAAAGTATGAGGCACTTGGACATATCATTGGATCAATTGTTTCATTATCTCTTCAATATGGATGTCTGAATAAAATTGCATTTAAGAATAGAATCAAATACAATAAAATCAGTTTAAGATGATTTTACAGGGGTGCAACCAAATATGCGTCTTATGTGAGAAAGCATTTATTATGATACATAACCACCTGTAAGGAAGGCCCGAGCCCCTGCAGTGGGGACGTAAAAGGGCTGGTAATGATGATAGGGAAAATGGAAACATACGATTATTTATTATGTTGTAATTTTGTACATAAAGGTATTATTTATAACACATTCAAAAATTAAATTAAATACATACTGTAATTATCGTATCTTACAAATTGAAATGTTGTACTGCAACAACCTAATAAAAAGATTATAACTTCATTTAAATATTTTTTTGACTAATTTTTTTACTTATTTATAGGTGGGTGATGTCATCACTGTCGATGTTGAATAGAATACACTGGGTGGACAAGAAAAGTCTCGAGCAATTTATCTTGGCCTGCCAAGACTCTGAGACGGGCGGCTTCAGTGACCGACCAGGCGACATTCCCGACCCATTCCACACCGTATTTGGTTTAGCAGGCTTGTCATTATTAGGAGACACTAGCATCAAACTTGTGAACCCAACATATTGTATGCCTCAAGAAACCATAGACAGATTAAAACTCGAACCGCAAGTGCTGCATATTTAATAAGAGTGTGTCTATATTGTGAAATGTAAATGTTATTGTAAAGTTGATTATATTAATATACTTATTTAAACAGATATTTATATATACCTACCTAATTCCTAATTACATAAGAGTTTCTTAAATTCATTAGTTTAAACTTAGATTAGCTAAACTTTCTAATCCGAACTTGCAACATGTATGTTAGTTGTGTGATAAATTAGAAAATTTCTAGTTAAAACCGTAATTGTATATCATAAACAAAAATTTTTCCTTTGCCTTCTATAACGAGGCAAAAAAAAGGAATGGGGTAGAAATATTAGACTATTATTTGACATTAGTTCCCTTTGCCTTTAATTAACCAAGAAAGTTGACCACTTCCAATCAATCAATTTCACTAGAGAGGAAAGATTTTTAAAAATATCGATATATCGAAATCTTTTGGTCTGGAAATCCAAAGTTCTTGTCTATAAAAATATTATGTAAACAAAATTTATTTTTAATGGCAAAAAAAAACACTTTGTTCCTGGCACTCTGAAAAGGGACTTTCGCAATCCGAGCGACTGCTCTAACCACTGAGCTATCCTGGACTTAACAGGACTTTTAAGCATTTGTTTCTTTTTCACTACTACAAAGCGTATTTTCATCAATGTTCAGACAATCCACCCAAATAGCCGAAAGAAATATTTTAAAAATAATTAAACATTAGATAAAGATGATAATGTGTTTTAATTATTATATTTGATCAATCTCTAATTCATAATGCTAAACTGAAAAATATTCTTAATGAAAAATGCTTAAAAAGACACGGCTCAGTAACTAATGTTTAAATCTTTTTAGCATTTCCTACATCTTACAGTCGCGTTTTAACAATCGAGTCGTGATATAGCCTGGCAACAGACGGACTCTTGTTCCCTTTCGGTATGGAACCCTAAAATGGCATTCATGAAGTACGTTCGTGGTCATAATAGGAAATATCTTTAAATATATAACACTTTAAATAGATTGGGATATACACTCTGAATCTGTTGTCATAGCTAAAGAACGTTTATTTTACGGGTTACATAAAATTTCACATGGGAATATCAGCCGTTGAATGATAAATTTTAGTCAACTGATATACTTTTACTATTTGGATTTAATACAATGTTAGGTTTCGTTATGTTCGTACATATCGATAACGCTATTTGCTTGATATCGATATAATTGAATCGGTTTTTCATCCCTAAATATCACTATTTTAATATACAATACACATGTAAACATAACCTGTACCGAAAAACAGATTTGTTTTATTTAATTATTAATAAAAATTGATACTGAACATGCGTTTCGATTTTATAATGCAATTGTTTATTCTTAATGTAGGAGTACAATCTTTTATTTTGTATATTTACTTTAATTATTACTTTCAAATATTGTTGACTAAATATTTTAGTAAATTTCAGAATGAATATGATTATATTATTAGTAAGTATATCAACAAATTACTTTTGTTAATTTCTTCAAACACAATTCGTGATAAAATAGGCAATATTAATAAATATTCTAACTTAAATATATTTAAAAAAATAGTTGTACCATCAATATCAGAAAAAATACTATATAGAAACAAAAAAAACCTATATAGTTACAACTAGTTTATCTGTACTGGCATTAATTGTTGCCAGTTTTGTTGAACTTTCATGTATATTAAATTATATGCTACTTTTTTCATGGGTTTTTATTATCAATCCAACCATGTATAATTTTACAGTTGGCTCTGGAACTGCTGGATCAGTCATAGCACACAATCTGGTGACTAAAACAAATTTCACATTTATTGTAATAGAAGCGGGAGGTGAAAGCAACTCATTATTTGAGATACCAGTTCTAGGTCCTATGTTACACAACTCTGTGTTCGACTGGCAATATGAAACAATACCACAACAAAATGCCTGCTTAGCAATGAATTATAAGGTATACATACATATTATTTCATTTATAATTCACAACTCAATTAACTAATACAGATAAGTTGCACACTGTTACCACATTTCTCTTCATTCTAATATCAATACCATGTATTCATGGCTACTGAAACCTAGTAATTTATCATATATTATAAAATAATGTATATAAAGAATAGAAATCATAATATATATCAATGGGTATATGTTTCAAAGTTTGCAGTTCATTACTATCAGTTGTAGTATAGAAAGTATTTATTTAATTTTAGAACATACTTTGTTTAGTGCTACTCTCTATGGGGAACACTCAGTGTGATGAAGCAGTGGAAGCATTACTACCTAAATCAATGCATTGAATTAGTAAAGTCATATTTAATAGAAATTGATTGTTTTAGAAATGTAAGTTACCACAAGGCAAAATTGTTGGCGGGTCATCAAAATTAAACAACATGGTACATATCAGAGGAAATATTTCACATTATGCTAGTTGGTTCTATGGAAAGTATCATGAAAGTTATTTGAATAGACACTTTGATATGATAGAGAAGAACTTGTTACATTTAAATGAAGTACAATATGAGAGTGAAATGGCAACAGCAATTGCTGAAGCTGCTGAAGAGTTGGGATATAGCAGATTGGGTTCAGAATTTAAAGTAGGCTACAGAAAAAGTAAGTTGTCACAGAAAAATGGTAAACGGTGGACAATTTCCGATAACTTAGATTCATCAAAGTATGTATTGAGCAATGCTTTAGTAGAAAAAGTTATCATAGTTAATGATATAGCCAAAGGTGTAACTGTTCAAATATCAGATAAGAAACACAATATATTTGCTAGAAAAGGAGTTATTTTGTCAGCTGGAACAATTAATACTCCTAAAATTTTACAATTGTCAGGCATTGGTCCTCCAAATATACTAAACAATTTAAATATTCCAGTGATAAAGAATCTTCCTGTAGGTTACAATCTCCAGGATCACGTAACAACCGGCCTTGATTTAATTTTATTCAATAAAACCTTATCAGTGAATGCAATGAGTATGTTGGATGTTTTCAATGTTTATCAATACTTTTTCCATGGAAAAGGTCCTTTAACAACAGCGGGGTGTGAAGCTATCACATTTTTGTCAACAAAAGGTGAAAATATACCTGATATACAATTCATGGTGATGCCAGTTGGGATCTCTTCAGATAGAGGCAGTTATTTAAGATTAGCTTTAGGTATAAATGATTCAGTATGGGAAGATTATTTTGAAAAGTTCTTTGATAAGCATGCGGCAACAATACTGCCTATTGTGCTACATCCAAAAAGCAAAGGACAAGTGCATATTATAACTACAGATCCTGAAACACCTCCCTTGATTGATCCTAAGTATTTATCGCATGATGAAGATGTGAAAACTTTGATTAAGGGATTGAAATTAGTGCAGAGATTTTTGAATACCAAAGCTATGGAAAAAGTGGGTGCCTTCATCAACCCTCAACATTATCCGGGCTGCAAAAGTCATACTATATTTTCTGATTCATATTGGGATTGTTACGTTAGGCATTTAACATTAACTAGCTATCATTACGTAGGAACTTGTTCCATGGGCCTAACTAGTTCAAATAGTGTAGTGGATACTTCTTTTAGAGTTTTTGGTGTTGCCAATTTATATGTAGCAGACGCATCAGTGTTGCCCACTCTGCCAAGTGGTAATATAAATGCGGCTGTTGCAATGATGGCCAGTGTATTTTTTGATGAAAATATCAATTTAGTTAAAAAAGTTAGAAATAGTGAGCACTGTCACAAGTATCAGTTATTATATGAATTAATTCATAAAATATGTTTGATATAATATTGTGGAAAATATTAAATACTGTATACCCAACCTCATTAAAGATCTTTGCCTACTATGGTGTGGGTATAAACAAAAAAAAATTGTGTAGTATTTTTTAAATGGTTTCTGAAACATACAGCCAATTTGCTGATTTGTTTAAAGCATTACAAAACTTGATTATAGGGCCTGTCTTCTTCAGCTTTTGAGGTAAATTATACAAGGGCGGAATGATAAATAGCTAGCCTAGCAAAGAAAAAATTAGTGTGTTAAAAGTATATTTATTTTTCGACATAGTGTCCTTGAAGCGCTATGCACTTCATCAATCTACTGTCAACTGTAAGTAATCGCGGCACCCACCTTGCGGATAATTTTTTCATACATAATTCTTGAGTCAAAATGTAATGCGCGTTCTTTCAGTATCAGCTATCTCGGAAAGTTTCAATATTCGGTCAACTAAAACTGCACCATGAATTTTGATCACAATTTCTGGAGTAGTGGTACTTTTTGGACGTCCTGGACGATGTTCATCTTGGATGCTGGTACGGCCACGTTCAAATTCAGCCACCCATTTTTTATGGTCGCATATGAAGGAGCAATTTCTCCCCAAAACATCCTTCATCTCCGAAAAAAATCTCTCCACCTTTTAATCCTTTTAAATGCAAAAACTTTATCACAGCTCGTAGCTCAATTTTATCCATTTTGCAGAAAAAACAAAAGAATGCTTTTTGAAATGTCAATATTTAAAAGAAAAACTACGATCGATTTGAAATTTGGAACACTGGCAGCTAATGAACCAATGAGTAAAATACTAAGGAGATTTTATATCGTTATTATATAAAATATGGGTTGTATCCCGCCCTCGTAAATAAAACTTAGCCTATTATAATGAAGGGTATTTTTGTGATCCGGGGAAAACTCTACCTAAAAAAGTTAAAAATTGCTCTCTTTATTACCCTCTTGACTTACTATTATACCCGATTAAAAAAAACACGGGAAGCTAGATCATAAGAAGTTGAAAATAGTATAGGATTTACACGTGCGGAGTCGCAGAAAAAGCACTAGTATTTATATAAATCTTGAAATAAAATATATCGCACACCGAGATCGAAACTGAGACAGCTCAAAAATTTGAGTGAGTTTTGACTTAGTACAATATTCAAATACTCGGTGATCATACGCATCTATCCAACATAACAGATTCAATAAAAGTTCGGGGATAAGCCGTTAGATAACTTTAGCTTTCTTTTGTTGAATCAACAGTGGTCGCGCTCCTTCCACGTAAACCAATCTATTGTCAGACCTCCACATTAGTTTTTTGAGTTGTCTTAGTTTAGATCTAGGTGTGCGATATTATGATTATGAGGCAATATCAGGTTGCTTAACAAAAAATGGATAAACACAAACATTGTCATTTAAGCTTGTTTATTTAAATAAAAATGCCTCAAAATAGTTTTAAAATTTATTATTCGTAATAAGGACGCTTCTAAACACGAAATACTGATTACACTGTTGAGCCTCATTTACAATACAACCATTCATAATATAAACTCATTAGGGACATTTATATCTTTAAATATTTATTTATACAATAATAATCCACTGCAACTCTTCTTCATACAATTAACAAATTATGCATGCAATAAAATTGTGGACAATCTATCTAAAATGGTAAGGGATTTTTCCATTCATCTATAAATGTTGCACGTCGTGAATTATCATTTTCGCAGACATAAGGGCACTATAATATAAAATCGTGTGCATTACATTTTTCAATTGCATTCGGTTGATTAGATTACCACAAAACGATTAGATTGAAAATAAAGTAGACACATTTGATAGATGTATACAACTTGACGTGCTGTTGTCTGTACATACGTTTAGGTTAAAACTTATTTGATTTACAAACTAGTGAGACAATTTGCACTTCAGCGCTCCTTTCAGTACAAGTGCTGATATTTTTTTTATTATTGCTTCTGTGACATACTTTATGATTCGTTTATTATGTTACAACTGATACAGTTTTAATTTAGCCAATTTTATTCTGACTAAATCAATATATTATTCTGACTACCTCCGTAGCAGAGTGGTTCGCACGCCGGTTTCAAGGTGTCGCCATCTCTGAGGTCCCGGGTTCGATTCCCGGTCGGGTCAATTTAGAAAATGAGCTTTTCTATATTGACTCGGGTCTGGGTGTTGTGTGGTACCTTCGTTGTCTCAGATACTCCATAATACGGGGGCTTTAGCTACTCATCTTGGAATCTGAGCAATGTATGTGATGTTGTTAAATATTTATTTTATTTATTATTTATTTACTACAAGTATTATTGAAATCAATAATAATAATACGACCCACTAACGAAACGTCATTCTAACTTATTAATAAATAAATGACATCCACACCACCTGACAATAGTTTCAGTTTTTAGACAATAGACTCAGTCTCAAATTCAAAAAGATTTAAAATTTGTAAGACGATAAAACCGATAGGCTATCGTTATCGCATTTTCTTTCAAATAATAGTTTGAAAGTTTTTTCTCATTGAATGCATTAGGACCTTCGCATCGATGCCAGCAGCGCCGCCAATCAACATATTTATATATCATCGTCAGCCCTTGTACGTTCCAACAGCAGGCGCTCAAGGATTGCTAATGTATGGTTGTGGAGGAATTATTATTATTATAAATAAATAAATAATGTTGATTGTAGGTATTACAACGTATCTAACTGAGCGCTTAGTGTAAGTTTTTCAGACGTTTACGTTCACGTTCGATCGTGAGCACGTTAAGAGGTCAAATTCTACTAAATAAATTTTGTTTAAATATAATCGAAAACGGATCGAAACCAAACGAAACTACAGTTTTTAATAGTTTTCCTATTCTACAAAGTAACATACGATATAATTCCAGTTCTATTTTAGCTGGAATTGTATCGTATGTCACTTAGTAGAATAGAAAAACCATTAAAAACTGTAGTTTCTTTCGGTTTCGATCCGTTTTCGATTCGATTTAAACAAAATTTATTTAGTAGAATTGGCCCCCAAATTTTAGTATGGAATTCGGTATAGCGCCCCTAGCGGTAACTACAATTCTCCATATAAATTCTTAACGCGCTCACTAGTGAATGCGTTAACGTATAACTTACACTTACCACTCTGAGCTCACTTGGTGAACGCTAGTTATTCTATAATCACTCCGCCCCCCAGCTGCGATACCTAACATCGATTTTTATTTGGACGTAAGAAGTATACTTATAACGCAGTAGCGTTTATTATTTATCGTACTCGATCTAATTGTAAGTTCAAATCTAATACAATATGTTCGTACATAGTAAAATACTAAATTTATGTTTTATTTTAAACCCTAGTAAGTATATAACTATTCTTATATTTATCTACAAAATCTACTCTAATTACTACACAATAAATTATAATGCATATGACTAGATTATATTAATTCAGAATCAATTGTAATTAAATTGTACAAGCGAGAACAAAAGTTTTGAAATTATTAGTATTTAAATATTTTCAAATTCAATATGATACATTAATGAAAGTATCTGAGACAGCCAATCATAAAACAGTTAAATAAATTACCAATAACTAAGCAAGTCGAATAATCTATGCACTTAATACACATACATTAACACCGGAATAAGTTTTCTAATATATTAATGTGTTCTTTTATATATAAGGCACTCACAGCTATTTATTGCAGACTTTCTATCAATTACAAATTGTACGATGATAATACATATTAGATTTATCCATTTTAAAAATTTCAAACAAAATTTTAAACGCTAAGACACAAATGGACGGAAGTGTTTTAAATCAAATACTAAGTTAATTTTATAAGTCTCATTAATTCAAATGTCAATACACAAACTTTGTGCACATTAAAATGATAAATATGTCATTAATTTGACACACTCTAAGATTAAAAAACGTTATGATAGTAAAGATATATAACTCTTAAATATATATAATACATCTTTAAAATGTGCTGAGCAAAATTCACCCCAATGCAGTAACTGCGCTGTATTATAATACTGGACGGAATATCTGATAATTCATTATACAACACTGATAATACTAATCTATAATTATAAATATATTGCCACACTATACGATACAATAGTTATAAAACTTCAATAATCAAACAGGTTAATTTTTTACACTATAATACTGAGCGGTAAAGATATTAAGTATATAAATTAAGTACCTACTGTTTTCATAATATGAACCCTAATTTTGAAGGTTAACCTTTAGTTAATCCATAAAATGAGCGATTAATATAAACTATCCAGCCCATAGAACTTTCTGGTTCTGTGGTCCAAAGGTTCCCAATAATAACCAATGAATGACCGATACCATAAAATTTTTAATTAAAATAATACTGTTTCTTAAATGTCTGAAAATATGCAAAATTTTATCTATTATCATTATAATTTTATGATTAATTAATAACTCTTCTTAAATAAAATCCCCGTTTCTGTCTATGAATTTGTGCGTTTAGTTTTTTAGTTTGAAGAATAAGTTTTAATGCTTTTTACAACTTATTTGTTTTTAATTTTCCAAAAGTAGTGACTATTAATGTACATTATTATTAACATTTTTCAATTGTATTTTTCCACTTTTGTAGATGACAGTCATATTGTGTCGAATTGTAAAATATTAAAAATTCCAATAGAATTATTTTTCTTCATTTGAGCCAAGTTACTTATTTGAGCAGTGACATTTGTTATCACGACATATTTGATGTATTTAATACCGCAAATGTGCTTAACTTGAATGTTGCCTACTAAATAGTTTACTTAAAACAAGAATTAACAATTAAACAAAACAGTAACATCAAGGCAAAAAATAATTTAAGAATAACTATGTACCTATTTAAAATTATATTATTTACTCTTTCGTTTAAGCCTTTTTTGACTAGACTAACAAATGAAATTATTATTATTAATTTAGGACACCTAATTTGTGTATTTTATAACTAATAGGGTCCGACAGAATGTAGGCCTAAACACACGAATATTTCTACTGTTTTATAAATATTATTACTTTTTCAATATTACACTAATAAATAAATGGCAAGATATTAAATTAACATCAGCTTCTATAACTCAAAGCCGAAAAGGCACACGCGAACCTCGCACATTTAAACTAGTCTCATTAATCCCAATAATACCATTCCTGAAAATTACAAAACGCCTATTTATTACAATCACAATCTTACTTGAAACACGAATCCAGGTAGTTGTCCAGCATGTCCAACTGAAGATCGTCCCAATCCGTTGGGTTGAGAAGTAGTGACGACAAATCGTCCTCTGGTATAAGCGGGGGTGGCGCTACAGGCTCCACTATCACATTAGCTCCTATATTAGTTTCCATTTCCAGTCCCGATATAGATTGTAGACCGCTTATGTTAAAATCAGGGAGATGCAATGTCACAGAATTATCAATATTAGTCGTCATACTGTCGATTATTTCAATAGGTTTCACTTGAGGTATATTAGCTACAGCTACTTTGTCTTCACTGTGACTTTCTTTAACCTCTGCTGCAGCGTTACTTTTATTTTTCTTCTGCGGTCTGTTGGATATACGTTTAGTACCTTCTAGATGAGCCAAATCTAGTTTCCAAAATCCCCCTTTGCCTGGTTCATGTTTCGATCGGGCCTCTTTCACAAATACTTTATTTAGTGATAAGTTATGTCTGATTGAGTTCTGTAATTGAAATAAAATAATATTAGATCACGTCTTTCATATCATTTAAACTTAGACTTAATATTGTTTATTAATTCGATTTGTTTCTATGGAAATATTTGAATTATTTTTGTTTAATTAAATTAATAATAGTTATATTTGAAAAAAAATAAAAACCTACAAAGGTGCCCGAAGGAAATTGAACTCTTAACCGTTCGCTAACTTGGTGACTACCGGCAATCGTCAATCAATTATATTAAATTTCAAACAATCAGCAATAAATATATAATATATTCATATTCTGATATCTCCCATCAAATAGATTTATTTCCTATTCAACCGTTTCCAATTAAGCATAATCTTATCTAATCTACTATAAGCAGATTTAAGTTGATTATCGAAACGAGCATGAGGGCTTTCTCCCTACCGAATGATTATTAAGATAACAACACTCACCTGCCAGGTGGGATCAGCGTTTCTGTAGTACTTGAAATTGTCCCTTATCCAGGAATATATCGCAGAAAGAGTCATCTTATCGTTGTTGTATCTCATCGCCATGCAAATGAGCGTGCTGTAGGAGTATGGTGGTTTCTTCTCACTGTTTGTCAGGTACTCTTCTTTATTTTCGGTGAAGTCCTTCTGGCACTTCGCGATAGTTTGGTTAAACTTCTGGAGTCTCGTATTCTGTGGCGGCACTTTTACCGGTGGATTTGGTGACATCGGTAATATAGGAAACTGAGGTACTGACATTATGTTCGTTATATTTTGAAGCCATGTTAAATTAGTCAAATCTGTCTCGTTGTCTTCGACAGGATTCTTTTCCGGTTTCTGTTTAGTTTTAATTTTTTTATCTATTCTATCATGGTCTTCGGATACTTGTTTCGTGGTTGATGTGTCCTCTGGTAATATACTAGTGTCCATAGCGGTATCATTTCGAGTGTAAATCTCCGGTTGCTCGTATACATATTCGATTTCAACGGTGTGCGATGATTCTGGTACGGTATGGTCGACCGCGAAGTACGTGACGCCGCACTGATCTCCTGCATCTCCGTAGAAGTCGATGGCAGAAGTATCCAGCATCTCACCGGACGCCGGCGAAAGACCCGATGTTATATGCATCCTGGCTTGCTACATCGCTCGTAATCCTTGAAAAACGTGACAAAGAAAACGATGAGTCATTGCTATCGATGATTTGGCAATTTATATTATGTTTCTAATAAATTCTGCAATTATGATTAATAACTTTTGATTGATGTCGTCGCAATTGATGGTCGGTGTGGGTGTAAAGTATTTTTGACTGGTTACCTGATGGTGAAGATGTGTGGTGGACCAGCGATATGGTCATCCAAGATGGACGAAGATCGATCGGCGACGGCGCGGAGCCGGTATGACGTCGCGGCGGTCAACTCGCCCCCCGCTCCCTACGATCGAACCGGTGGCAGTGTGGCGCCGTACGTATGTGCGACTGTGGTGGCGGCGCGAGCGGTTATGGGCAGGTGCGCGGGCCCCATTGTTCCGAACAGGTGTGTGCCACCCGATCGATATTTTTCCGCCCGCAAGAAGTCGCGTCCCGCATCGACGATAGCTCCGGACAATTAGTCACGGTTATCTCTCCAGCAGACTTATCGGAAGACGTCTGTTCTGACGCTGCGGGTACTTATGCGTCTTCACTACACTTACATTAATGAAAATAACTTTTGATGCACGATTTCTTTTCGTGTAAAAGCGTCCATAATGTAATTGAAATCTATTTGAACGGAACAAACGATGCCCTTCACTAGGTTTCGTTCAAAGGCGCACTCTAACCTGTCGCCTACGAATTGTTTTCGTAGCTACCCTATGTTTACCTTGGACTCAATAATGACAGCAAAACTAACATAACGCTAAGGGGTTGGCGTCAGTTACACTTTTTGAAAGTCTAGAAAATTTTCAGCACATTGATGTATAAAATCTTACTAACAAAATATTAGTGGAGACTAGTAGAGGAATATCAGACTAACTTGAATAGTCAAAAGAAAATCTAATCCCACCCATTTGTCTTCTGTTTCATAAATAAATTGAAATTTATTTTCAGATTATCATAATCATAATTATTATAATATGTAAATTACAAAGCAAATGTTTAATAACAACGAATGTGATGAAAATCCCCTTGAAATGACCCCGCATAAAGCGAATACCTTAGAGTGTTGACCGCATTTAGCTTGAAGGACCCAAATAAACAATATTGAGCTCAAGAGTCGATAACCTCCTCAATTTAACAATCATCATGTACATACTTCTACCGTATTTTTCACTTCTGCCTTTCAAAGGTTGTTGTGCTTTGACCGCCAAACGAGTAGTTTAGGGTGGAACAAAATACTTCCCTATGTTCAATGTAATAAATCACGCTTTCCCACTTCCAGTTCAAATCCAACCCTAATGTTTTCACAGCAATTCCTTGTAGAATTAATTTATTATTTAACTAGTTTTGTGTTCACCTGTACATTTGACCTATGCGAATAGAGATCAGATTTTGTACACCATATGTTTCTCATTTAATTTTTCTTGATTATTAATTATAATTAAGACGCTCATTGGTTTGAAGTTCAAAGTTTGATACAAAATATTTTTGAATTTCGGTTTTATCTATTTTCTCTTCAACGCCTATTACTTATATTACAGTGATTAAAAATAAGCAATTAAGGATGGATAAAAAAAATCTTAAAAAATTCTCAAATCTTACTAATATTATTACAAATATTTCAGCAAATAATGTGAAAATATTATTTCATCCATTTTAGGTTTGCATTTTTGTTCTAACTACAAATCTATATATCTATATATCTATTTAACGTACTTGAAAAGTTGTTCTAATTCTGACGTATGAAACACGGCTCCTTAAAATTTTATTTTTAGAAAACCGAAAATACATAGTTATTCCTTTATTCCGTAGATACATAAATGAGTAGCTAAAACCGTCGTATCATGGTGTAAATGAGAAAACGAAGCTATCACGACACCCAGACTCGAGACAATTCTAAACTTAATTTTCCCCTTTTCCCCTTTCCATTAACCCGATTGGAAATCGAACCCGAAACCTAAGATATGGCTATGATACTTTGAAACCGGCGTGCGAACCACTCGGGATACGGAGTTCGTCCTATCATTATTCGAGTTTTAGTCTTACCTCAGAACAGCAATTTTATATGTATACATGGGACACGTGCAACAACGCAATAAGCGTTGTGTACGGTACAATATTGCGGGAGGGAGCTCGAGTCGGGAACCGAACCGCGACTGGCACGGCATGCGGCTCGTTACGCTACACCACCAGCACCTTGCATTATAGTGAAAGCATGGGGGTGCGTAACGCGCACATGGAACGTGTGCCCGATAAAAAACCGTATTGAGTAGATAAATGGATGTTGCTAGACATATTGATAAGTTGAATTTCTAATATTATGAAGAGGTAAAGTTTCTGACTAACATGACATGAAAATTCTTTCATCTATAGGGAGAGGCTATAAGTAATTTACGCGAGTGAAATAGCAGGAATACAGCTAAACTGTCTAGCTAGTTTTTAATACTTGTGAAAGTTCGACAGATTTTTTGTTTGTATCTTCCACGACACTTCTCAATTATGGATCCGTTTTGATGATTTTCGTTTTCAAAACATAAGATCACATCTAATTTTCATGAGAGTAGAATCAATAGCGTTTTGTAAATTTTTAAATACCAACTCATAGTTTATAACTATTCTAAAATTGGTATTAGCGGTTTTTCACAAACTAAAACCGACGTCTATATTTTGTCCACTGTACTTCTATGTAGTCACAATTGCATTTCATTAAAACCACAATGTGTTAGCATATTAAAATGCAATAAATGTATTTTTGTGTTTGTCTGAATAAGCAGCACCATTTGGCTACTGAGGAAGATCGCCGGAATTAACAATGTTCGCGATCTAGTTAATCAGTTTTATTTATTTATTTATTTATGGTGAACTTAATGATTAAGTCTTTTTTCTTCTATCAATTGTTTCGAAAAATAGACTATTATAAACAATATTTTTTGTACCTACGATATTTAATAAATTAAAATAACTAGACGCAAAATTGTAATATTTCTAAATTGTAATTAGTTTAAAGAGAAATTAATGATGCAAATTTTCATTTAGAACATTCATTAGAGTATAAAGCTATCATTAACATTAATGAACGTTTTTGCAACTGGGCGATTGATAGGTACTTAGAAAATGGAATGAAACCCGACGAGGGTCAAACTGAAAGTTCTTAGAACTGGCCACTTATAAACAATATAATAAAAAAATAATTCTAAAATTTGAAAATATAACTCTTTGCCAATATTACTGAGTATATATTTCATTCATTTGTCATTTGTTTTACGATTTGGCGGCAAATTGAAAATTGTCTGTGTCACGTCATCATGAATTTAACACGAGAAAATTTTCGTGCAATGATTTTTTATGACTTTCGATGTCATTTAAGTCAACAAGAAAGTTATGATAGACTACGATTGGCCTTTCACGATGAAGCCCCATCTCGTGCGACTGTTTACAACTGGTTTAATGAGTTTAAACGTGGTCGCACTAATCTCACTGATGATTTACGTGAGGGACGGCCTTCTACGGCGACGACTGAAGATAACATCTGTGTTGTGCGGCGTATGATAGAGACTGACAAAAGAGTGACCTATCAACAGATTCGGACAAGCTTAGGCATCGGTATGAGTCAAGTGCACAAAATCCTCCACGAACATTTAGCGGTCAGGAAGCTTTGCGCCCGGTGGATACCTCATAATTTGACTGAGGCTCAAAAACTCCATCGTGTGGATTGGTGTCGTAAAATGATTGAAAGATTTAACGGAGGTGACTCAAATGCTGTGTTCGACATACTAACAGGTGACGAAAGCTGGATTTACTGTTATGATCCTAAAACCAAAAGACAATCTGCTCAGTGGGTGTTTCCTTTCGAGGAGTTGCCAACTAAAGTGAAGAGAGATCGAAGTGCGGGAAAAAAAATGGTGGCCTCGTTCTTTGGAAGGATAGGTCATTTTGCAACAATTGTGTTAGAGGATCAAAAAACAGTTTCTGCAGAATGGTACACTACCAATTGTTTGCCACTTGTCTTGGAAAAAGTTCGAGAGAAACGACCTCGCAGTAGGATCCTCCTTCACCACGACAACGCCTCGTCGCACACCGCCAAGCGAACGATCGACTATTTGGCGACATCAAACGTTGAATTACTGGGTCACCCGCCGTATAGCCCCGACCTCGCGCCTTGTGATTTTTATTTATTTCCAAAAATTAAAGAAAAACTTAAAGGAAAGCGGTTTATGAATGCTGAAGAAGCGGTGGCTGCGTATCGCGATGCCATTGAAGAGACCCCTAAGGACGAGTGGGCAAAGTGCTTTTCCCAGTGGTTCCATCGCATGCAGCGGTGTATTGACGTGAATGGACAATATTTTGAAAAGATATAATAAAACTAATAACTGGCTAATGTAATCAGTTTTTGATTTTCTAAGAACTTTCGAAAAACTCCCTATCTCAAATTAATTCGATACCAATTATTGGGAAAGCCTGTGTTGGGAAGCAAAGAAGACATTAATAGCCTCGATTATGTCCAACGATTTCTTCCTCATTCTTTTTTTTATTTCAAGCATTCTTCCAAACAACAAATTACTTAGACCACACATTTATGCTGTCGAAGTTAACAATATCGTATCTTTTACTTTAAGTCGAAATTAAATGTTAAGTTTTACAGCACTACAGCACTGTTTTTCAAGAAGGAATCGCCGTCATATCCGGGTTCGATTCCTGGTGACGATGTAGAAAATTAACTTTTCTATATTGTCTCGGGTCTGTGTTACCTTCGTTTCAGATAGGATAGAAGAATGATTTATTTCGACAAAAGCTGAGCAAATCATATAAATAACAACGTAAAAGGACAATAAAAATAATCAGAGCAATAAATATAATATTGCCTAATATTAAATTAATACCCAATTTAATTTAAATTAAAAAAAAACAATTGTCGAAACAAGCCCATGTGCGCCCATTTTATAACAGATTACGGCCCTGTCACTCGCCCCATTGAAATAACTAGTACGCTACACTCATTATGGCCGCCACCTGTAGGCAATCAGCAGACAGGAGCCATATAATTTTATTGTTTTACAGAGCCACTTGCTAGGGTACGGTTTCACCATATGGCACGATATTAAATACGCCCATTCGTCACTGATCAGCTTCTTTCATTATAAGTAATTAGTAGCTTATTACTTTCTGGATAAAAAAATAGTGTCAGTATGCTTAGTGCTTTTGGAAAAATTAAAAAAAAAAATTATAAAAATTCATCAGTCCCGTTAGGTCCTGGGTAGCTCAGTGGTTAGAACAGTTTGGATTGCGAAAGGGCATGGGTGTCCCATGTCACAGTGCCATGGACAAAGCGGATTTTTAAGTACTTTTCATTGAGATTGAATCAGTATTTGGGACACAAAAAAATATTTTTATTTTTTACGGCACATATTTGCTAAGTGTATAATGGTGTAAGCGATAGAAAAGGCACTTATTTTTTTAGATGTACCTACTTAAAATTAACGTTGTAGATCTCAACGTTAACTTTCGCTAGTGAGAGCGTTAAGATTTTAGTATTAAAACCGGCACAGCGCCCCTTGCGGTAACTCTCAAGAACTACAAATCTCCATACATATTCTTAACGCGCTAACATAAAATATACACTAACCGTCTGATGAACCAGTTATAGTTTTCCACAAGATAGGTGTCAGTAAGAGTTGTGCTATACTAAGGCATCATGTCTTCACTGGTACCAAAAGCGGCACCAAAAAATACTAGTACAAAGGTAAAAAATCCTACACTACACTCATGAGAGTGAAATGTACAGTGACAGTGAGTCGAACCAGTTAATGAAAAACACTTATAAAGTGATAGGTCTTTATTAAAACATATAAAAATAACAATCCTTATCAAGTAAGTACATTTTGTTTTAACTTACAACTATTATTAACTTAGAGACAAAAAAAAAAGAAAAATATATTTTGCCACACGCGCCAAAATGGCGTAATACACTCTTATCACATTAAGATTGGACATAAAATCATTTGGCATAGGTTCAGTAACGTCTCCCTCAAGACTGCAAGTGTTCCAATATCCAATTGGCGCCGTTTATCAGGTTGTCCATTTCAGCTGGTAATGACGACAACGAGTGGTTATCGTCATACATGTAAATTCTGAAATAAATTAATTTGTTTGATTATTAGGTCCATTTTATAGTTAGCACGTTTGTTATGTTATTACCAGAGGTCGGAATTAGGTAGAGTTATTTATGTATTTGCATCGAAATGTTGATATTAATGTGGACCTTCCCGGGATTTCTAATGGACAATCTTGGACATCTTTGGACATCCGATGTCATTGATGTAAGTTTGGCAACGTCGTGCGTGCAGTAGTTTAAATTGTGTAAAAGTAAATAACTTTTTATTTAAAAAATCACGGGATTTTTTCTGCTGTTTAAAATTAATCTCGGGATTTGAGGCATATCCACTTTATTCTTTCGCTGTATGAAATCAGTGTAAGTACATGAATAACTCTACCTAATTCCGACCACTGGTTATTACGGATGTTAAACTTTTACAAAGGCCAGCATTCAGACGGGTGATCAAAAATTAACTATTTTGAGCTCCTGTAATTTAGAAAGCACGTTAAGCTATAGGTACTGGATGTAACTACATTCGATAACACCCGCCAATCCACATTATAGTACGTTGCACTTATTAATCTTCTTTTTCTAGTGAGTTTCTATTTTTTGCTGACTGTAATTTTTTTCCCAGATTGATGCGTTTCAGATCTGTATATGCGTTTCATGTTATGGAAGCTCTCCAAAGAGCGTTTTCAGGTAGCTATAAAAATACATCTTACACAAGTATAGTTTTTGGGTTTTATCTAATATCGATTACTATCTGATTTTCCGCGACTTCGCTCGTGTAAATGATAGCCTGTGTCACCCGCGTATTAACTTAAAATCCTGTAAGTCAAAGAATGTATGAACATTGTATGTATAATGTATGAACATGAAAATAAACATTTTCGAAGATTAGACCCTAAAAACTAACAAAGTTAGAAACCACTTAATAATATTAGTGATAGCTAGTGGAAATAAGGACTGTATGATAAGAAACTAAAAGATATATGATAAACTGTGTAATAATCATCATCAGCCCTTTTACGTCCCCACAGCAGGGGCTCAGGCCTTCCTTATGGATGGTTAAGGAGGATGGGCCATGACCCTCCACGCTGGCCCAATGCGGACAGGAGGATATTAACAACGGCAAATGCAGGCGGGACCAACAGCTTAACGTGCCTTCTGAAGCACGAAGTAATTCGAGATAATAATTTTTTGGTCACCCATACCGTGACCGACCTTTGCAAAAGTTGCTTAACGACAACGATCGCGGGCCGCAGCGCTTATCCACTACGCCACCGAGCTACTCATGTAATAATAAATCACATCAAATGATATTAAAGGAATGCACAATAGGGATACGACTAAATTTTTTTTTGTCTTACAGGTAGATTGTTGAAAAATATTAAATACGTATTTTTTTTCGTAATCATTAAATTGCGGCGATACATTGACTTAAAATGTCGCATGACGTCACGCTTTTGTACATTTTCAACAAACTGTGACGTAGCGAGCGCCCACTCCCCAACTTTAATGCCTGTTATCTAAGATATTTCTTGTTAAATTAAAGTAAAAAAAACACGTATCTAATATTTTTCTATTATCTAACTGACTAAATAGAATTTATTTTTTTATACTCAGTCGTCATCCCAATTAAAAATCGTGACCAAAACAAAAACACAAACAGCAAAAGGAAAAAAAGCAAATTGTAAAAATATAAAACTTAAAAAAAAGGATGGTGGTTTGCCAGACAGTCGCCAATAATCATCATAATTATCATCAGCTCTTTATTTCGTCCCCACTGCAGGGGCTCAGGCCTTCCTTATGGATGGTTAAAGAGGCCCAATGCGGATTGTGCGGGTATTAACGACTACAAATGCAGCCGGCATCAACGGCTTAACGTGCCTTCTGAAGTACGGAGTAGCTAGAGAATTTTTTTTGGTCACCCATCCCGTGACCGACCCTTGCGAAAGTTGCTTAACGACAACGATCGCGGGCCGCGGCGCTTATCCACTACGCCAACGTGCTACTCGCCGCGTACAATCAATATAGATAATTCTAAAGCAAATCCCCTCTACATCGACCTCACCTGGTTGCCACCCCGTTGGCCTTCAATCTCCTGGCGTACTCTAGCCCTTGGAACTGCGGCACCCTCTTATCGCCGCTGCCTAACATTAGGCACGTGGGTGCACGCACTTTATGCACGTGTGCTAGAGGTGAACATCGTCTCATAGACAACAAATGCTCCTCAGTCACCGGACCCTTCTCGGTGAATTCGAAGCCAGCTTCTACTGCACACCTGCCAGAAAATTAAGACGGTCACCGGTCGGTATAAAGCATTCGGGGTGAAGGGAGGGGACTAACAACTAATGAAAGTCGATGTTCTGCAAATTTTTACGAAATAATTGCATCCTAATAGAATCTCGATCAGTTGCATTTTACCATTGTACGATATAGGTGTAATGTATTATATGGACGAGTTAAGTAGGTTGACCAACTTTTAATAAGGTGGCAACACTGAATTCACGAAAAAATAATCAGCTGTTTGATACAAAATTGTAACACTTACAATCACCAACAGTATAAAACAGCTGGTTATTTTTTTGGTGAATTTAATGTTGCTCCCATGGTAAAAGTTGGTCAGTATACTTAATTAATCCACCCCACGAAGTCCTGGCATATAATAATATTACACCTTATACTTCCTCACAAATCAATAGTGACAGATATAAGAATTTATTATTTTAATCTAGTGACAAGAACATAAATTGTTGAAGTTAAAGTACTATTGAATTTCCATAATACTCTTACATTAGCAGAACGAAACACTTTAGTTGCTTAATCATAACTAATTAATTTAATTTGAATTTATAAAAAAAAAAACTTAAATTTTTCTGAAGTCACATGGCAATAACACCAATCTGTCAAGGTCAAAGGCTCGGTTGTGTTTGTTGTTTATTAATCTGCAATTCGGTTGATCATTGGAGATTGCTTCTGTATATACAAAACAAATTTTCTGCAGATTTGGACCACCTAGTATTCTATTGCAATAATAATACTATTATAGTATAATATTCATTACAAGTCTCCCAAATTCCACCTTAAATGTGTAATAGACGATCGGGGAAAATTATTAATTTACCATCTAACTGTAGCATATTAAAAATTTAGGGGTAAATTCGCCCTAGTTGACAGTAAAAAAAATTAAATAACAAAATTTAAAGATACATTTAAATTTAACCGCATTAAATAATCGCCTCACCATATAGGCGTTATTTTCTTAATAATAAGGGCTCACAAACGCCAAACACTAACGAAAACAAACAAAAAATAAATCACCCATCTGAATTATCGGCAGCCTGGCCCTTAGTAGCCAGGTCTATGAGAGGATTTCTCAACACCATCGCTCTGAACATCTCAGGATGTAAACCGGCCAAACATGACGTCACAAGTCCACCATAACTCCCTCCGTATAACACCAAGTTACTTTCGTCGAAAATGGTGTCGTCTGTGTCTAAAAGGGTGGTGAGAGCGAGAAGGCAATCGTCGACGTCGTAGGTGCCCACGTGGCCGAGTAATGAGTGCACGCTCGCGTCCCCGTTACCAATGGAACCGCGGTAATTTACTCTGACTGATGCGAGACCTGAACACATTTTGTTATATTCAACTGATGTTTGTAAGTAAACAATATTCGCGAGGATCTTTCTCATAATTTGCAAGAAAAATCAATTGCCGACTTTCTGATTCATCAATGGAAAAAAAAAGAAAAAAATGAAGTTCAGGAAAAGTTATTTTAAAAAGGCCCTAACGATTTATCGAATGCTTAGAGTATTATTCATTCTTTTAAGGTATTTATATGAATATAAAACGCTTAAATTACTTTTAAAGTTTATAAACCAAGATGTTAGATTATAGTTCCGGTCATATTTTTTTGCAAAACATTGTACTCATAAATTCTATCCGGCTTCTTTTTGTATATCGGCTTATACATTAATTCCGATCGTACGCAATGCAATGATGTATTAAAAAGTTTAGATCGGTTATCCGCACACAGTTTCACTTTAATCACGTTAAAGTAAACGTTGTGGGTAATGCCATTTTCACTCGTAATTTTCTGTGAAAAGATGTAGAAAAAATGCCTTCCTGCATTTTTTTATGGGATAGGGGGCAGACGAGCAGACGTATCACCAGATGGTAAGTGATTACCGTCGCCCATGGACACCTGCAACACCAGAGGGGCTACAAGCGCGCTGCCGGCCTTGGAAGGACGAATATGATCATAGGGAGGGAAGGGTTGAGGGGTAGACGGAAGGGAATAGGGAGGGGTTGGGCCTCCGGTACCCTCACTCACACGACGAAACACAACGCAAGCGTTGCTTCACGTCGGTTTTCTGTGAGGCCGTGGTATCACTCCGGTCGAGCCGGCCCATTCATGCCGAAGCGTGGCTCTCCCACAGTTTAAACAATGCACAAATTAAACATTGACAATGAGAAAAAAGATATTATCTCATGCGCAAGTACTGTACTTACTCTTTTTTATTTTAATAAAAATAATAAAACATTAATGAATGCGGCAATTTTTTCGTGCATCGTGTTCTATGAGGATGCAGCAGTTGACACGTAAAGCTGTGCAAGTATGTTCGTCTCGTTCTAACAAGAGGTATTCTGAAGATTCTGATAGGGAGATAACTATTTTTGATTTCTTCGCGCCTTTTGTGGTTGTATTATAATGTTACGCTACCACATTACAATTTACGCTGTATTAAAACGCAATAATCTACGGGTATGACGTGTCTCATAACGGAATGTTTCTTTGCTTGTTGAGGGTAATCTCCAGAAATTTTGATCCAATTTTGAAAAGTCACTATAGGTTATATAACTCACGCGGACGAAGTCGCAGGAAAACAACATATTAACTACCAAGTGCCATTATAAAACCCATGAGAAACAAAACCTTTTCTAATAAAAAAAATGAAAAAACTTTTTTCAGCCCAGTTGCACAAACGTCCACTAACGTTTAATGGCTGCTTTAAGCTTTAATCGAGGTTCTATATTTGAATATTTGTATCGGTAATGTCGCTTAAAACTAATGTCAATTATAATGGACGTTTGAGCAACTCGCAAGTAATATTAACACTCACCAATCCGCAATATCCGTAGAATTGTACATACTCGCGACATCTGTGACAGGATTCCTCGTCACCACAGCCTTATACAGATCCGGGTACTGTCCACTCAGATGGGTGACCAGGAAACCTCCATGAGAGCCTCCAGTCAATGTAACCCTGTTCCTATCCAACGGGTATTTATTCAAGGCCTCCTCTGTCGCGTATTTACAATCTTTCACGTCAGCATCGCCTACCCGCTTAGGTAAGAAAGAGACGGACGATTGACCGGCGCCCGTAGAACCACGGTAATTTATTTGTAGAGTGGCAATACCTGCAATTTTTTTCGTTTCGTATTGTTTGACCTTTTCAATGTTTTATCATAACCATAACAAAACTTTTTGATAATTACATTTCTGATAGAAATATTTTTAACTAAAAAGAAAAAAAATAATGCAAAATATTAATCATGTGCTGATCATACAAAATGGAAGATCAAATTGGTTGAATATCTAATTATTTTTACAATGTACAGTCCAGGGTATTTGCTTTTCTTTTATTTTTTTATTTAATTCTGAATGAACATACATAGGCGGACTTGACGCTAGACAGGACAATTTTATCCAATTACAGAGGAGTTGCATTACGAATATTCCACTAGGCACAATCATAAACGATACATATAAATCAATTGCCTAATGAAGCTGTCAGTGTCCTACAAACTATGTTTATGATTACTAAGCACATTATTGAAGTCAAAGTTGTGTTCAGAAAATAAACTATTATTATTACTTTAAAACTTGGACAAATAACATTTTCAGCTTGGTGAATCAGAAAATCGGTTGATTTCAGTAATTTGAAAAGCTACTAATATAACGCTACAGAGCACTTAATATGAAAACCATCGCATACGAATCGAGTTTCTAAATCATATTTTTTTAGATATTTTTTTTTAATAAACCCTAATTTTCGTACAAGGAACTAAGATTTCTCATATAAAATATATTTATTTGAACAACATTAAACAAACATTTTGTACACAGATTTTAACTATTAACGTCCACCTTCGGGCAGAAAAATTATCATTTGTACTTGATTTTTTCACGAATAGAATGTGTCGATTCGCACTTAACAGCTTTCGTAGTAAGGGTACAATTGTCATCTATTATTTGTTATATAATAGGAATATTAATTAAGTTTTTACTTGGGTAGATTGTTAAAGAATATTAAGTACATATTATTTCTATTTTTAATAAAATCAATAAATTACGGCGATACATTTTCTACATAGTTGTGGCGTAGCGAGCCCCCACACCTCAACTTTAATGCCTATTTATCTAAGCTTTTTCTTGTTAAACTGAAGCAAAAAAAATACGTATCTAATATTATTATATTATCTGACTGACGAACTAAAGATTTTTTTTTGTCCAGTCATCATCCCTTTTAACAAATCAAAAAAATCTAATTATATAACAAAAAATAGGTACATCCTATTGTTTGTTATAATTTGAAAGCTTAGACCCCGTAAACAAGCCGTATTCGTGCATATCTTATATTTTATATATATAGAAACGTTCTAAGTATAAAATTTGTAGTACTTATTGCGATATACTACAAAAACGCACGGGCAGAACAATGCGTGTGAACTAGCTCGGAAAAACTAACTATATGAATGAAGAAATCCGATACATTTTAAAATTGTATTGCAAAAAAAGGTAAAAATGAGAAAATAAACTAAGAAACATTGTGAATGTTTACTTATTTCAATAGTACACATGAAGCACATCAGATTACCACAAACCAATAATTAATTTTAAGTTAAAATCGTTTTGATTTTTTTTTATAAGTTTTGATTATTTAACCAATAATTTAAGGTTAAAATCGTTTGATTTTTTTTATAAGTTTTGATTATTTATATATTTTTTATTTTTATTTTATTTATTAGGACAGCCAACAATAAGTACACTATAACATGCTCTCAAATTGAGTTTACAATTTACAGTTATAAGCGCCGCCATAATATAGTAAATTTTTAGGTTAAAATTGACCATGATTATATAGAAAGTGTTTCGGAGATTCGGTGATGTATTTCGATCGAAAATAAACGAAATCGAAATGCTAAATATCGTACAAACGTCCATTAAGGTTTAATGACGCCTTTAACTCTAATGAATGTGAAATTTGTATGGGTAATGTCGCTTTAAGCTAATGCCTCACCGATACTTACCTAACATCGCAAATAACGCAGCCTCGAGAGAGAACGAGTTGACGAAACCCGAGTGTGGGCCTCCGTGCGGCCACACTAGTAGGGGAGCTTTGCCCTCCACCTTAGGTAGCATTAGGATCGCGGAGAAACTGTCTGTACAACAAACAATAGATTTAGCAATTTGTAATATTTCCAGATAATCTTATTTATTTATTGAAACCAACAGCGTTACAAAGGTTCTAAATTGTGGTTTATACATAGACATAATTACAAAGTAAGGCCAATAACAGGTTTCATTTATATATAAATACAAAGGTATCCGCCCGTAACTGTTACAATATCATTTGGTATGCTTGTTTTATAACTTTATATATACACAAACATATACATACATACATAAATACATATATGCATATACATACATGTGCGCGCGCTACATAACAGAATTACATAAGACTCGCAGTTATTGCATTTTTAAATGCTCTATAATTTAGCAAAAAAATTTATGTAATATTATGTGGAAAGATCAAAAAAATATTCTCGTAGGATTTTCTGTAATCTAAAGATAAAAAATGAGGAAGAATTTAAGAAAAAAGCACCAAAAAGCACCTCCACTAGATTGCGGCTCTAGCAAAAGTTGGTTTTTGCAGGAAACGTTCCCTATAACTAACATTTAAAAAATTGAAATTTGTAAAGTTCGATACTTAGATATCAATACAAATACGAAAAAGTACAAGTATATGAGTTGTTTGTTAAGTTTTGAAAACTAATTAACTTTTATATATCGACGCTGGAAAGCAAACACGTAGTAACCCGCAAAACCAAAATTGCTCTTCAGAGCAGAAAAGCTTTTATTTTTTTCGATAAAGAATTACTATAAACGTCTATGGTAATAAATAAGGTGTTCCTTAGTCAACTTATATCGAAATAAGATATTTATTTTGGAAAAATATAAAGATTATCCACTTCAAATATTCATTTTGCATTTGCGGGTTACTACGTGTTTGCTTTCCAGCGTCGATATGCAAGAAACCCGGAAGGACTGTCATGGAGAAATCAAGAAAGTACCGTAGCGACATCTAGTTTGATTTCGGGAACTAATGGTTTTTTTTAACACTTCCTCGTAGTTTTCAATGTTTAAAAATTAAACAATTTTTTTTTAATTTCAAGTATAAGCCGGAGTGAGAAGGAAGCAAATTTTAAATTTTTACGGTGTGAGTGATATATTCCAGTCGACTCGCGCATATAGCGCCGGCAATACTTACTGACATCTGACACTTGGTCGGTGTGAGTGAGATGCATATATTCCACTCGGCTCGCGTGTATAGCACCTGGCAGAGACGGGAGAGAGCTAACGGCCACCCATCTTATTGATGACTCGTCACCGGGCAAGGGCAGACGTGCTACGTGTAACTGAATGAATGATAAGGTACACATACATTATATATTTTACTAGCAATGAATATAACAGAAATTTATTTTTAATTATTAATTCTTTATTGCCTAACTAAGGACAAACGGCGGACTTAATGCCATAGAGGCATTCTCTCCCAGTCAACCAGTAAGATTGTACAGAACACTAGTAGGCGGTGAAGATTTAAAACCGTACATAAAATCGTAACTATAAGCATTAGCATATATACATGCAATACATATACGAAAATGCTTTTTAAGTGTAAATTGACCTGGAACCTTTTTTTTTTCTTTTGTGTGATTCCTCAGATTGTCAAGTGTAAAGTTGGAACTATATGCCAGTTAAAATAACAAGAATGTGTTTTTCAACTTGGTATAGAAAATCGTTTGCTTTAAACGTTTACAATATAGGGTCTCATATTGAACAATAATTTTATATTCTTAATGAAAAATCCTTAAAAACTCCACTTTGTCCCTTGACCTTTCACAATGCAAGCGACTGCTGTTACCACTGAGTTACCCAGGACCTAAGAGGACTGACGAATTTTTCAAGCGCTTGTTACAAAATTGATTTTTAAAGCTTTTTTCATTTCATTAAAAACATTTTTCAGTATAGCGGAATGAAATGAAAATATCTTTATTCAAGTAGGCTATTGCAAGCACTTTTGAATCGTCCAAAAAAATTTTTTTTTCCCTACCACTTGTTCAGGACGTCTTTTAGCTGACAAAAAGAACAAGTGAAAGAAACTTACCAGCTTTTATCATAAGTAATGACATTTACATATATCATGTCATTACCAAAATAATATGTATTATCACAATAATAAATACAACTTTCAAAGTCTGTAGGACATAGGTTGAACATATAATTAGTCTTTATAGAACAAAGCGAAGGCTATCAATTCCATGCATTGCGATCCTTAAAATAATCATCAACTTTATAATATTATAGCATTTTATAATATTATAGCTTGCTATTAAGCTAATGCAAAATTGGTCTAATCTAACAATAATTTCATGTCAATGCTAGTGATTTGATTATAACCTTACCTGCGCAGGAGTGGTCATACTAGAGCAAGTTGCCAGTATTACATCAGATTTAATGTCCAATATTGTCGTCGAGCAGGGCTTGGATTTATTCGATATATCGACTATACGACCGCCATCTTTGGACAAAACAAACACATCATTATTAACAGCTTTTCGACGAAGAACTTAGTTTTTGTCCTTACTCATCATCATCATCATCATCATCATCATCAGCCCTTTTACGTCCCCACTGCAGGGGCTCAGGCCTTCCTTATGGATGGTTAAGGAGGATGGGCCATGACCCTCCACGCTGGCCCAATGCGGATTGGAGGGTATTAACGACTGCAAATGCAGCCGGGACCAACGGCTTAACGTGCCTTCCGAAGTACGGCGTAGCTAGAGATAATAATTTTTTGGTCACCCATCCCGTGACCGACTACTACTACTTACACATAACCAAGAGAGCTAATAGGCTTCTGGGATTTATAATCAGGACAACTAAAGATTTTAAGAGTCCTACTAGTGTGTTGTTCTTTTATTTTAGTTTAATCAGAAGCGTACTGGAATATTGTTGTCCAATTTGGTCACCATATTATACTGTACACGTGGATGCATTAGAGTGAGTGCAACGACGATGTATAAAAAAATATATAAATAATAAATAAAAAATTTTGGTCGGTCACTTAATAGCTATAGTGATAGGTTGACTAAATTTGGTATGATTCAGTTGGAAGCTCGCCGCAATAGATATCAACTCCTCTGTTTACATAAAATAGTGCATTCGCTTATCGATTTGCCTGGGTTACTTTCTTCAGTCCACATTAATACCAGGCATAAGTCGCGTTACCCTAACACATTTTCAATCCAAGTCTACAAAAATAATACGTCTTTTTATAACCCGATCGTAAGAATGTGTCGTACATATAACGATTTGGATCATTGGACAAATTCTCAAAATATAAAAAAATAATATCGTTCATTTGTCGGAGTGCTTAGTGTTATCAAAATTTAATTACTTGGATGTAGTGTATGGGCCGAGATTATATGCCAAAACCGCAAAAGTCATCCAGAGGGTGCAAAATGCGTGTGCGCGTTTTTGCTTTAAAATACCACCCCGACATCACATTACTCCGTATTTAAATAAATAATATATTAAAAATGACTCATAGAAGGGAATTACACTTGGCTGAGCTACTATTTGGTATTATCAAAAGTGGCATTCCAAATTATCTGTACTCAAAATTGGAGTGGAAAACTGGTCGTAGTGGGTGTGGAGTTCGTGGAGTCTCTTTCATTCTTCATACGCCTTGCCACAGGACAGCAGCGTTTAGGGGTAGTTTTAGATACAGTGCCACAAAATGTTGGAATGATCTACCACCACCAATGCGTGATTTAAATACTTTGCACAGCTTTAGATCGAAGCTAAAAAATATTTTAATCAATAAACAGAAGTCAAACATATGAAATTAATTATTAAATGTTGCATTATTATTTTTACTATTAGAAATCGTAATTCATAGCAGAATTAATAATCATAATTGTTTTCCTCTATTATTACTACATTCCTATAATTAATAAATAATATTTTAATTTCTATTGGTATTAATTGGAATTCATTGTTATACATATCGACTTAAATGATTTAAATACTGACATATATAAATAAACTTATGGCATAATAATACTCAGTCACCTGTGTACAAATATAACATGTTTGACACCCTTAAATGAAGTGGAGAAATTTAAATTTTGGTGAAAAAGATTTCGCCCTTGTGAAGGCAGATAGGTATACTTATATTTATGGTATATTGATGTGTGTTCGTATTGAGGTATATTATATATATTTCTTTGTTTTTGATACTAGTATATGTAAGTGTATATTATGATACTATGTGTGTGGTATTGTATGTTTATTAATTGGGTACTTATGATTAGCACTGTTTTTGTTTTCTTTTTATTTTGTTTTGGCCCAGCGGGGCGTCACCACACCACCTAAGGGGGCCAACTGAAAAGCGACGCTGCAGTTAACTGCAGCACATGTCGAGTTGGCACCTTTTAGACACCACATCGGATGCACTCTATAAGTTAATAATAATTTATTAATATTCCATTATTATTAAATTATGATGTTATCATTATTAGACCATATTATTCCATCGGGCTGAAATTTGGCATGCACGTAGATGTTACAACGTAGGCATCCGCTAAGAAAGGATTTTGATCAATTGTACCCCCAAGGGCATAAAATAGGGGATGAAAGTTTGTATGAAACTTTGTCAATTTTAAACCGATCGGGCTGAGACTTTGCATGCATAAAGCTATAGACTGTAGTCAGATTGGAGCTACTATGACGTAGACGTCGTTAGAAATGCTGCTCAAAGTAACTTTACGGACGAAGTCGCGGGCAAAAGCTAATTGTTAATATAAAAAAAAACACAATCATACCCAAATCGACGACGTAACTGCGCACTTCGTTCTGCTGCTGTGTAGATAAGAGTATCCGTTTGCCGTCAGCGCTGAAACAGCGGTTTGGCAACGCCGCACAGTACACGCCGTAGAAACTGTCGCCGCCCACTATCTTCAACTCGTCCTGTACCACGCCCACTACGGTCGTCACCTCCCTCTGGTATAAAATTGTAAACGTATATTACCGACCTTTTCCTTTCCTCACCGACCTTTCCGAAAGAGGAGGAACGAACAAATGTTTTAATGTTTGTATGAAAAACATTGAACTCTAATACTTCATCGTTCATTCATTCATTCGCAGTTGTAAAATTTACCTCGGTTAAACTGTAGATGGCGTTAACTTATGAATGATTAGACTGCACGAAGATGAAGTGGTCGACATTCCTGGTCCATTGGACGTAATGAAAACTGAAAGGACAAACGTTCTGTCTATTGGACAGTAATGAACAGCGAATGGTCGATATTTCATGGCCGTCTCTGAGATCTCGAGATCAGTTCCCATTCGGATCAATGTAGAATTTTTTTTTCAACTCTCATAAGAGACACTCCATAATACTGAAGCTTTAATCGTCTTGGAATCTGAACAATGTACGCGAAGTCGTTTAATATTTTTATTTTTTATTAAAGCCACACACACAGCAGCACAGCATATAAAGTCTTACTAGACAGTTTCCTGTCCATGGGAGAGAATGGGTTATTGACAATTTTGCAACCGAAGGAACCCATGTTTAAGACCTGCAATTTGTGGAACACTTAGTTTAAGTGAACTATGTTACCTGTCCGTTAGGCAGCATGACAAGTGCATGACAGGCGTGATGTGGACCCCCAGTACTCCGCTGCAGCCACATTAAATCACCGTTAGGAGAGAATCTCGGGGAGCGTACTGCCATACCCTCGACGGAAACCTTTTCTGTAAATTTACAGTAATGTTTTTTTACACCGTGAAACACTTTTTTGAAGTACAGATTTCAAATCATTCTTTATTCTCATAATTTAATATTTGCTTCGAAACTATTAGGACAGGTTCTATCAATTAATGTCTGTTCAGCCTTTTAATGTCAAGTTTGGATAAAGGACGAAACCATCCATGTTTGAAGGTTTTTGAATCATAATCTCTTATAATACCATCCACCCATTTTTTGTTTATAATTCGAGACCAATAGGCAAGACGTCTGGGTTAAAAAAAATAAATTCTATTTAGTCCGTCAGTAAAATAATAGAAAAAATAATAGGCATCAAAGTTCAGGAGTGGACACTCGCTACGTCACAGTTTTGTAGCAAATGTACTAAAGCGTGACGCCAAGCGACATTTAAACTATATATTTATCGATTACGCAATTAAAAAAAAAAACAAAAAAATACGTGTTAATAATTTTTAACACTACCAGACAGACAAACAAAGTAGTACACCATCGAAGACGGGAATAAACTTGTCGTAAATCATAACATGTCTCGTTGCGCCGTTGTAACGGTTTTAAGTTCACAATTAAAAAGAAATAAATAAAATTTAGGGTTAGTCGATGTTCGGATAATCGGGATTCTATTGTATATAAATTAAAAACTGACTCATGTGTCCATCTAGCGTGAGTGTAAATATGCAGCTGGGTCTGTTCGTACAGAACATGAGGCCGAGTCGCCGCGGCTCCGTCTGCCACGCGACGCCCACCACGCTCTGGCCGTCCGGTGAGAAACGAACCTAACGATAATAATCCAGTGATAAAAACTTTTTCTTGTTTTCTTTTTATAACCTTACTAATAAAAAACTTATAACCGTTGTTTAGTTACTCTGGTCAAGTCATTCCAATGTAACTTCGAGAGAAAAAGACAAAGCATTGTATAACTACACAACGGTTATACATTAGCTATTAGTAGAGATGTGCCGAATATTCGTTTGATATTCGGTATTCGGCTTATGCGGCATTTATGCTGTATTATTTGTAATGTAAACAAAATTAATTATTATCATTATTATTTTCCATCAGAAATGAAAACCATGAAATTCTTTTGACTTACTACGCATCTTTTTTGGTATATTATAATAAATCCAAACACATTTAATATTCTGCTAATGTAGTGGGGCCGATTTCTTTACTTCTTTATTTTGCAGACAACTGATAGTGTGTAACTGACAACATTTTCGTGGCATTTCGAAAAACGAGACATTTTAGTGTGGGGGCCATCAGACAACCAAATAACGTGACAGTCCCTTTCGAAACAGACATCTGGTCCCGTTAGATATGGTCCACCCCTTATAGTTTTCTGACTTTGTTGTCAGCTCTTTTACGTCTTCACTGTAGCGGCTCAGGCCTTCCATATAGATGGTTAAGGAGAAATTTTCCAACTTATTTTTAATAAATATGATACAACCAGTCAATTCACGAACTCACCTGCCCTGGACACCAGGAATCAGGCAGCCCTTCGAGTATTGTGCAAGTTTCAGTTTGCAACTTGCACACCACAATGACACTCAAGTACTTGCCGACTAGCTGCTCACCCCAGTCCTGACGGTATAAATACTCTTCACCCTGCCACAGATTTATAAGACAACATATTATTACAAATTATTTAAAATGACCTTAATCATCAAATCAGTGACCTTTATCTCTCTTTTGCCACTGCTTAACTATAGTTACCTTCTTGGGTGCTGCCTCCCCACTGCCATTGATTTTAGGCTTATCATCAGCCTTTCTTTTAACATATGATTCAACTTTTGGTAATTTTTTTTCAGCAACATAAACTATAGAACTTTCGTCTTGTGACCAGTCTAAGCTACCAAATTCCCCTGAAAATCATGAATGTATCTTTTTATACTGAATATTAATTCTTTATACATGCAAATAATAAAACTTATAATATACTTCTTTAGTTTTCATTTAATGATTTAAATAAAAAAATAGAAATAAACAAATAAAAAGTTCATGATAAGTAAAATTTTATTCTGGTCCGAGGAATATAACACACATCCTAATATTACTTACCGTCTGCATACACATCTCCATGTATATCAAGAGCAGTAAGATCAATACTGTGCACCAGATTGTTCTTCTTCCAAACCTCAAGATACTGCTTCTTAGCATCTTTACCATCCTTCTCCTCACGAATGACAGCCTTGAATGTCTCTTGAGGTGATATAGATGATAGTAATCTAGAAAGTAAATGGTCGGTTTGTTTTGTAATTATTTTTATGACAGAGGTTTGCTATGAAACAATTTAGAAAATTTTATCTCTAATAGCATTAAATAGATGTTTGAAAATTAGGTAAACCACATTGGCAGTCATGGGCAAAACCTTGATTTGTTATACATAAACTAAAAGTAAGTCAACAGTTAGTGATTGCACTGTGTTTGTGTATGTGAAAGAGAATCATGTTGAAAGCTTGCGAAATGGCCAACACAGTAAAGATCTTATTCTGGCTTAATTTGTCCTCAGTATGTCATAAGCTAATTTATATCTATAAAATAGTTATAGATACAAAAACAAGTGCTAAGCTCACGCATACAAGGTAGAATCACCAGTTTACTTCAAGAGGAAAACAATTATTAAAATACTTACTCATTACTAATGTCAATACCAAACTCACTCTCTGCAATGACATTAAAGCTGTCGTTAAGTACATAATTGTATAGGAATTTAGTGTTCTTTCCCTTGTCTAAGTTCCTTACAGACCAACGAGAGCTGATCTTACTTCCATTTTTTATCAGTTTGCCACCTAACACTGATGGTATTTTTGATAAGGTTTTGTAAGCGTTAATTATGTTTTCAAGCTGAAATTATGAAACAAATTGTAGGTGACAAACATTTATAGGTAAAAGATCTATAACCATAAATTAATTAATAAGAATGCGTATTCAGTAACAGTATTCGGATAACATGTATATGAAAGGAATTTTATTTTTAACTTATTTGTATCAACATGAAATAATCTTACCTGTGACATTTTATTCTTATAAATTCTTATGATTCTGTTCTTTCAAGTACACAATCTAACTAAAACAAAATATAAAGGTTTATGGGCAATGACAAAAACTATAGAACTCCGATCAAATAAAAAGTTTACCTTTGTTCTGACTTCTCAGCAATAAAATAAATATATGTAAGTAGGTAGATAATTACAGCTTTAGATATGAGTTTATACTTAGTTCAGTATGTATTTTATATAAATACGAGTTGATCAAGCAGACAAAGTTGAGATAATAGTATTTAATTAGTGTAAAACGACAGTAGAAGATTGATAAAACAGTAGGTATAAAAAATAACTTTGTATTTGTCTGTTATGTACCGTTTATGAGATCAAACTTAACTAATTGGTTGACAATCATTATGATCTTAAAATATAAATTTTAATAATTGCCCTACCTGTGTAATTTTATTTTTAGCCGGCGAGCAAAATTATACGAAAGAAAAATATTCCATGAGAAGGTAAACTTCGATTTGTTTGACGTCGATTTGACAACGCACTGTCAAGTTGACGTTACTCTTGAAGTTTTACTTCTTAATTTATTAAGACAATGCAATCTAGTTTCCGGTAACATTTATTGTTTTGACAAAAACAAGCTTTCGAAAAAGTGTTTGAATAAATGTTATTTCAAGTGCTAATTTCTGTTTTAAACCAATTACGATATTAGAACGCCGAAAAGTCCATTTATGTATTTTACGACCCCATTTCACTGAATACACTTTCATGATAACTTATTTCGCAAAATCGTTCTCTTGGATATTATCATATAATCTGTAAAACAACATAGTATGGCTCAATAACATGACAAAAGAAAAACTATTGTTTTTATATAGTATTTCTGGTTTATGTTTTCATGATTTTGCTTCGTAATAACTTTTTGTTTTTTTTTTACTTATTTTTTTTTGTTATAATATTGCGATTTGCAATCGGTAGTAAGACTATAAGCTAATTTGTTAATGGAGATGATAGGTTTAGAGAAGCGGTCATCACAGCATTCTACTAATTAAATATGTGCTCTCTTTTCAACCTCTTCACCACGTTCAATGGGTCCAACAATATAGAGGGTTTGGGTGATTCTGTAGACGATCCTTGTGTCTTTTTCGATATGATTCGATGTCAGCGGCCACTGTTGGCATGTTCAGATATGCATGGATTTAATCGTTCTTCGTGAACCAGTTTTAGGGAGCATTAACAATATCCTCAGTATGCCGTTTTGTACTCGTTGGAGACATAGTATATTCGCCTTGCTCGCCACACTCCATGTTTGGATCCCATATGTCCAGATCAGTTTTAAAACTGAATTAATATCAGTCTGTTGTCGAGTTCCTTCCCATCAGTCAGTATAAGCTTTGATACTTTGTGTTAATTTCCTTCCTTTTTATCTTTATGTGATTCTTCCAGGTCAAACGTCGGTCAATGTGGAATCCTAGGTATTTCAGGTTGTCGGTATGTGGTGTATACGAGGGTCAAACTGAAAGTTCTTAGAAAATCAAAAACTGATTACATTAGCCAGTTATTAGTTTTATTATATCTTTTCAAAATATTGTCCATTCACGTCAATACACCGCTGCATGCGATGGAACCACTGGGAAAAGCACTTTGCCCACTCGTCCTTAGGGGTCTCTTCAATGGCATCGCGATACGCAGCCACCGCTTCTTCAGCATTCATAAACCGCTTTCCTTTAAGTTTTTCTTTAATTTTTGGAAATAAATAAAAATCACAAGGCGCGAGGTCGGGGCTATACGGCGGGTGACCCAGTAATTCAACGTTTGATGTCGCCAAATAGTCGATCGTTCGCTTGGCGGTGTGCGACGAGGCGTTGTCGTGGTGAAGGAGGATCCTACTGCGAGGTCGTTTCTCTCGAACTTTTTCCAAGACAAGTGGCAAACAATTGGTAGTGTACCATTCTGCAGAAACTGTTTTTTTATCCTCTAACACAATTGTTGCAAAATGACCTATCCTTCCAAAGAACGAGGCCACCATTTTTTTTCCCGCACTTCGATCTCTCTTCACTTTAGTTGGCAACTCCTCGAAAGGAAACACCCACTGAGCAGATTGTCTTTTGGTTTTAGGATCATAACAGTAAATCCAGCTTTCGTCACCTGTTAGTATGTCGAACACAGCATTTGAGTCTCCTCCGTTAAATCTTTCAATCATTTTACGACACCAATCCACACGATGGAGTTTTTGAGCCTCAGTCAAATTATGAGGTATCCACCGGGCGCAAAGCTTCCTGACCGCTAAATGTTCGTGGAGGATTTTGTGCACTTGACTCATACCGATGCCTAAGCTTGTCCGAATCTGTTGATAGGTCACTCTTTTGTCAGTCTCTATCATACGCCGCACAACACAGATGTTATCTTCAGTCGTCGCCGTAGAAGGCCGTCCCTCACGTAAATCATCAGTGAGATTAGTGCGACCACGTTTAAACTCATTAAACCAGTTGTAAACAGTCGCACGAGATGGGGCTTCATCGTAAAAGGCCAATCGTAGTCTATCATAACTTTCTTGTTGACTTAAATGACATCGAAAGTCATAAAAAATCATTGCACGAAAATTTTCTCGTGTTAAATTCATGATGACGTGACACAGACAATTTTCAATTTGCCGCCAAATCGTAAAACAAATGACAAATGAATGAAATATATACTCAGTAATATTGGCAAAGAGTTATATTTTCAAATTTTAGAATTATTTTTTTATTATATTGTTTATAAGTGGCCAGTTCTAAGAACTTTCCGATAAACCAAACCTGAAAATACATTATATTGGATTTGAGTTTACTTATAACATAAGGGTTTATCATAATGATAAGAATATGACTTACTATGAACCTTCACTCTATAGACATAAGGGTGTGGTCATGATGTGTTCTAAATTCGCCGGACGCGTCGAACTGCCGCGCCGCTCGATACGTACGGCGCGCGCGTACCGTGCGACGCATCACGACCCCAGTACCGCTTTCACTCCCCGACAACACACCCTCGTGATATTTGTATTAACCCCAGTGATTTCAAAATTGGAACGAAAAATAAAATTATAAATCAAACGTATATCGCATATACAGCTTATGAATAGGTTGAGCAATTAATTTTATTAAAAAATAAATAAAAACCAAACAAATTAAATAGTTAATTTAAAAATAGAATATTTTTAAAGGCACTAGTTTGCTATATTTATTATTACTGCATACAATTATTCAGTAAAAAAAATTGTTCAGCTCTTTTTGGCGCGCTAAAAATTGTTGTGCAAGCAAAAGTAACTGATAAAAAGCAGTAAAACTATTTTATAAAGATGAACGAAGTCGATTTGATCAAAGAAGTAGAGAAACGACCTATACTGTACGACAAGTCTGTAAGCGGCTTCAACAAAACTAAATTGAGAGACGACGCATGGAAAGAGGTACAAGAAGCACTCAACGTGTCAGGTAATATGCTTACCACTGTACTCTGTCCTATTGTGACAACAAGGTGTTGCTAATGGTTTCTAGTTTTAAAAATTTAATAAGAAAAAGTAAAAAGCAAAGGTTTGAATTTTCTATGAAGCGGCAGATTTAAACTTCTTGTATTTTTTATATACTAGTACATTTTAAGTACGAGCTCTTATGATGTTTTAGTGTATAATAATTTAGACAGGACTTCCGCCATGTGTGTGTGTATATAAAAGTTCTTATTACCTTACTACCTAATTAATAGAAATCGCCTTTCATTTGTCCCCTAATTCTCTCCTTTCAAGTCATAATTATTTTTCTAAAAACAAATATAATGATATAAAAACCGGTCATACTATTCCGTATTATCCATAAAAAAGCAAAGAAACACATTCGTTGAATGGTAACTCCTTAAATAATTAATTCATTCAAATTTTTTAGTATTTGTTGTTCTAGCGGCAGCAGAAATACATCATAATGAAAATTTCAACTGCCAACTATAAGGGTTCATGAGATAGCTTGGTGACAAACAGATGGACGGACAGTTAAATCTTAGAAATAAACTCCTGTTTTACCCTTTAGGTATGAAACCCTAAAATACGCAGTGCGAAAATAGACCAGATGCAAAAAAATGCAGATTTTAATCCTCATACAGATTGTTTTCGGCAGTGAGCGCATTTACTTAGCAGAGTGTAGAATATTGATTAAGTTCATTGTAAACTAATATTGTTTAGTTGGTTTACGTGGACAATGAACTTAATCGATTGGAATATTTACAAATATGTTTACTTTTTTGTTTCATAGAATCGGAATGTAAGAAACGCTGGCGATCGCTCCGGGACTCATTTATAAAGTTGCAGCGGACGCACGGAGGTCGTACCCGCTGGCCGTATCACCATGCCATGAGGTTTTTACTGCCTCACGTCGAGCCCAAATCAGAGTCTAGGTAATGACTCTTCAGCACTCTGATGAATAGAACTTTCGGACCTGAGGATTGAACGAAAACTGACTAGAGTCCATATTTGTTATTCAACTATGTACTTGATTCAACTTTATATTTGAGTAAACAAGCCCTAATAGGAGACTTTATTGTCTACAATAGGGATGATTAATTTTTGTTTGTCTGTTCGTCATCGGCTAGATTATTAAAGAATATTAAATATATATATATATATAAATATATATATATATATATATATATATATATATATATATATATATATATATATATATATTTTGCATAATCAATAAATTACGGCGATACATTGAGTTGAAAGCTCGCATGACGTCAGCCCATGTCTTGTTAAATTGAAGCAAAAAAAATACATATCTAATATTTGTTTTATTCAGTCAGCTGGTGTGTCTGAAATAGTTCCATATTTCATTAACTGCTATTTCTCGAAACCTTGTAAACTAAAGTTTTGAAGAAATTTGTTAACCAAAAAAAAATCGAACTAAAAATTTTACTAATGCAACTAATTTCATACCAACATTACCGTCATCAGCCCTATTACGTCTCCACTGCAGGGGCTCAGGCCTTCCTTATGGATGGTTAAGGAGATATACCGACATATGCCACCCAATTTGCTAATTGTAACTTTGATTTCATTACAGCTCCGCCAAAAGAGACGAAGATTCGGACCCAGATGAGGAAGTCCGACAACGACAGATGCCGAGTCTTCCCGACCTCTCATTCGCAGTCCAAGAACCGAAAAATTACGAGGAGGACGAAGACTCGCAACCTTCGCCGAAGAAAGCCCGCCTAAACTCCACTGACGAAGAAACATCCTGTCAGTGCAATAGGACTGACCCAGACGAACTTTTCTTATTAAGCTGCGCTCCTATTCTGAAGAGGTTGAATCCTAAACAAAATGCTGGTGCAAGACTCAAGATTCAGCAGGTATTATATGAAGCGGAGTTCGGTAACCAAATGGAGTTGCCGTATGTGACCCCGGCTAGTGAATGCAGCTTTGACAACATAGAATCTCATGTTGAATGATTGTTTTTAATCACATCATGGCCTGGATTGACCGGGTAAAGTGACGTCAGCGATCACTTAACGACTACTTGATTCCCTAATCAAGCCTTACCTTAATAATTTTTGGGGCTGTTTCTAGTACCACCCAAAATGATGTAATGCTCTTAGCAATTGCTCAATTTGCATATGGGCTAATCCAGCACTGGTATCAATACGCCTACACAAGACACATAGCTATAGAAAATTTTAGTTACTAATTTTAAAAAGATAACTATAAACATAAGTTTTACTAAATATTAAGCTAGAAAATTTTACAAAGAATATTTCTTAATTACTATTAATGTAACAGTCTAGTCATAACCTTAGTCTATTCGCTGGTTGCGCGATGACGGCGCCATCTAGCGGTTATTATGACGTCGGACTTTGAAATGTTAAATGGTCGGCGGTCAGTACGAAGATTATGTAAAAAATATAATAATTTCAATGAAACATAGTAATTCACTCAAATTCTGTTAGATCCAGTAAATCTGTAGTGTCAATTAGTGTTCGACCGAAACTGGTTTTTTCAAGCGAAACCAAAACCGAATTTCGGAAACGGTCTCAGTTTCGGCCGAAACCGAAACTTCCTAACAAGGATCATATTTTGAGGGAAAAATAAAGAAAATATTTTTTATAATCGTCAATCTTTATTTTCTTTTCCTTTAAATCAAAAAGCTATTCAGTCTTAGACATCTTTCAACATACATAACAAACCCTAAGTCCCCTTATTATAGAAACAAATAATTATGCCTTGAAGTAAGAGAGTTGCCATTCACTCTGTTTGCAAAAAAGCTGAAAGTGTGGTTAGTAGAGAAAGGTTTTTACTCTATTAACGAATATTTTGCTTGCAGAGTTTAAAGTTAACTACGAGTATATATTAATGATGAAGGTGTAGGCATATTGTTCTGATATAAAATGTATTTATCTTTTATTAGAAATTTAATGCTAGCGGACATATTTAATAAATTTTTATGAAAAATAATAGTGATGTACATTTAATAATTTTCATGACATATAAATTAATTGCTCTTTTTATAAATTTCTATATTCTGCGTGCCTAAAATTGGTGTAATATGTAGCGGGTTATAAACTAATATTAAGATCGAATGTATTATTACCATGTTACTTGCAGAATAAAATATTTTGTATTTGTATTTGTACTAAAAATCGACGAGGTGTTTATTTGAGTAGTTAGATGGAATCAAATCTATCCATTTATGTTTTTTTTTTTAATATTAAAAAGTAAATTATTTAATTAAGTTTTTATCTAATATCACAATAATCACTTACTAATTAAATAATAATCAAAACAAAAAAATATTTTTTATCCTAAAAACAATATAACGTCTTCTAAACTAAATACAACATTGCGTACAACTTCGATAAAAAAATATGATCAATCACAGGGCGAGAATGCAATTTCGGTTTGCCACTGAAATCCAAACTAAACATAAACACGTTTTTTTTGCCGAAACTGGACCGAAACCGAACATTTGGTCGGACACTTTTGTTGTGTTTTGTTGCGGATTCACCATATCTTCGATTAATGCAAACAGGCAAAATATTGCTGCTTTAAAATTGCAGGCGTTATTATCTTGGCTAAATAAAAATATTTTCAATAAGAAAATTATCGGGGTTAACACACACTCCATCTCTTCTATAAGAATTTGCAATCTTATGTACATAATTGTATTTGAAAAATAAATTGGTATATTGATAATTTGGTGTTTAATTATCTGCAAGAAATACAAGAACAAAACTCAATTTAATAGACTCAAGAGTCTTAGAATAATAGACATGTTTTTAAATAAAAGTACTGCATTATGAAATTTTATTTCAATTTTATTCTTGGAATCATTATGGTTGTCTAAAAAACAATCCCAAAAAATGTACACTGGCTTATTTTTTATAAAATATTGTTTACTGCAAATTTCCTAAATATACAAAATACTATCGATACGGCGAAACAAGTTTTGAAGAATTTTATTTTATATTTGGTATTTTATCTTAGCCGTTGCATTATAGGTACTCAAAACATCGATCGATCTCCATACAAATTCTTAACGCGCTCACTAGTGAACGCGTTAGCCTAAAACTAACACTTACCACTCTGTTCTCCCGCGACTTCGCCCACGTTAATTAGTTACTTTACTGTTTCGGGAAAGCTATTTTAAATCTTTCATATTTTCAACCACTATCATATTTATCCGTTTCCAAAAAGTGTTATTATATAAAGGAAAAGCCTATTTTTATTCATTAATTTAATTGTCCTGCGTAAACGCGTGTAATTCAATCATTCAATCAGTCACGCACGCGTGACATTTTACTCGCAACAAAGACGTTTACGTTTAGTTTATTGAAATGTGACGTCACCCGTTTCTGCATCATGGCCGCAGGGTTTCGGTTCTTGTAATCCATCGATTCAAATGGCAAGTTTTCGCAAAATAAAATACACTTACAATTAATTTAAAAACAGCATATGTAAATGTTAAATAAATTATATGATCATAAAGTTAATAAAATCAAATAAATTCTATCTCATAACTTGATTATAACAATGGAAAACAAAACTGAGAAATTGAAAATAAATTATTTATTTTATTTAGTACGATTGTTTAGATAAAGTAATTGAATGTAGATTATTTGACGCCAACTCAAATGTATGAGTATATAATATTTGTTAAATTCTTTTTCTTCTTAAAAACTATTTAGATCGTATTGATAGATTCCTTAACAAGATAAATATAAGCTAAAACATGAGTTAGGGATAAAACAAGTTTCTTAAGATTTTGGAAAGTAGGTTTATTATAGCGTATTACCTTTTTCTGAGCAGCTTGTCAGCGCAGTGGTTAGCACATTTAGTCTACTGCGCGAAAGTTAAGCAACTTTCACAAAAGCCGATAATAGGATGGGTGAAAAAGATATGTTATTTTGAGCTCATCCGTGTTTCAAAAGCCACATTATGCCGTTGGTTGTGGCTGCACCTGCAGTCGTAAGTACCCACCAATCTGCACTGGAATCGCATTGAGTGTCATGGTATGGCCCATTTTCCCTATTCGATTCCATCTTATAGGGAAGCCCTGTTCCTCAGCTCAGTTGTTTTTTTTTTGTTTCTGCTCATGAAAACTATACAACAACTGGATTTACTTTCTTACTTGATACTGTACAAACAGGTTATCAAAGTAATTTTTATTCAATTTTTTTCCATCAAATATTTTTTTCTTTTATTCCTTGACATATTAATGACATGTCATATATGTACGCAACACCTAGCGCAAGGCGCCGCATAACGACTCTCATAATTTTAGACATTGCTTAACTTCGTTAGGTGGTTCCCAATCATTGGTGAAATGCATCTTTACCTTAGACGATTCCTCAATATTTAGGCGACAGATTTAGGTGACTCCTAAGCTTAGTGAAAACAGGGTATTAATGTAACAACGTAATTTTATCTTCTAATATTTCACAATGTTTAAATGACAAAAACAAATGGCTATTTCTATTGCCTTATTTCAAACAACATGATATGATACATATAGATATTGCTGGCGATTATTGTATATCTGTGACTTCACAATTACGTTTCGTTTTCTCTTCACCTATGCTCACCACTATCATAGTTATTAAAGCAGTGTAAGGAAATAATGAGGTGAGTCATGCTAGTGTCTCCATAACTGTGTAATTAAATTACAAATGCAGATTGTTACTTAATGAAATATCTATCCCTGTTTCTATTCTTACCTTCATGTATAAGTAAAATTCACATAGAGTATCATTGTATCATGTTCACCATCATCAGCCCTTTTCAGTCCCCACTGCTGGGGCTCAGGCCTTCCTGTCGGATGGTTAAGGAGGATGGACTATGACTAGGGTTCCCAACTCTCGATTGCCCGGGAGACTCCGGTAATATTGGTTAACTTCCCGATCTCTCGGAGAGCAATAATTGCTCCAGTTTTTCTAAAAATGAAATGCGTCGCTATTCACTCGCTTTGCAGCTACAAAATTGCGCGCCGCTCAAAATAATTTTGATGTGAAAAGCCGACAAATATTAGATGCTGCTCGAAAACAAAATAAATATAGGTACATTAAATAAACGATAACGATAAACTGTATTAACTCAAAATTATACTCGTAATTTTTTGGTCACCCATCCCGTGACCGACCATTACGAAAGTTGCTTAGCAACAACGATCGTGGGCCGCGGCGTTTATCCATTACGCCACCGAGCTACTGTTGTATTATGTTACTTATTTCAAGTTAAATATTTCACATGATGTATCCTATGAATGAGTTTATTTAAGTGAATGCTAAACTACCTTTTCTAAGAAGGAAAACTGAACTCTTTTATGCTTAGTCTGTCTGTCCGTCTGTGCTCAGCTGAAGCTGTGATCATCTAATTTGCTCCGATACTACTAGATGGACCGTGTCGTTTGACACATTTTATATGTATACGTAAAGTAAGTATAATATTAAGGTTGGAACAGGTTGGAAAGATAACTGTATTACATAATGTAAATTAATTTTAAACAGGGCGGCCTAAAATGGGCTTGAATATTATATTGTGTGTAATAATCTCAAAGCTATTCTTTTATGATATAGCCACGGAACCGCTGACCGTTGATTTGTCTAGGGACTATGGTCCGAGACAATATCCACTCTGCATTTCGAGTCTATCCTGGACCTGGAATAATAGGACCGGATGCTGGCCATGTTGAATTTCCAATATAACACCGTCTTAGTTAGTCTCATTGGTTACCATCTCTGGTCCAACAAAAATTTGATTAAAAATATAAACTATTTTAAAATATATGAGAATCTATTAAAACCGAACAAATGAAAGTTTATTTATTTAATTAATACTTTATACGATAATGTACAAATGCAAAAAAAATTGTAACTGAAGCTCTCATACAACGTTTATTGTATGGGACCCGTTGTTAAATATTTATTTTATTCTGTTTTTTAGTATTTGTTGTTATAGCGGCAACGGAAATACTACATCTGTGAAAATTTCATCTGTCTCACTATCATAGTTCATGAGGTACCTACAGCCTGGTAAGAAACGGACAAACGGACGAGCAGCGAATTTTAGAAATAGGGTCCCGTTTTTACCCTTCCGCTACGGTACCATACAAATCACATATAAAAATGATTGTCTATTTTCACCATTTTTTTATTATTTTTATTTTGGTACAAAAACAATAAACAAATCAAGATCACATGCTTACAATTAGGTATAATTAATTAATTTCATACTTATATGCCTTCCCATAATTGCTGCACACAACACTTAAATGTAAACATGACAATTAATGAATAATAAATATATATATATTTTGAAAGTAGCAATTATAAAATAGTTATTAGTTTCTGCTTTACTATAACAGCATTTATTTGTGTAATTAAATATTCATGATTAAGTAAACATTGACATGGAATATAATCATATTTCCTGTAACGTTATCATTTATTATACCGCAATGTTTAGGTATGGAATTACAATTAATTTTAATATTTTAACAATTATATATATTTGATGAATATGTAAATTTGTTATTACTCATAATAATGTCATTAACCTTTGAACAATTAACTCGGCTCGAAAATAAGGTTTGATTTTAGCTGAAAGTTCTTTCTTAATTTGCTATACAATCTTCACTCCCATTTTTATCCTTTTATTGGCTGTTTTCAGGTTAAAATATAGCCCATGTCCACCGCTTATGATGTAGCTACCCGTAGTTCACCTATTTTAAAGTTCACTTTCAAAATCGGTCCAGTTGTTTTGGAGGCTATTCGATGCATACAAACAAACAATCAAATCTTTCCTCTTTAGGATATTAGTAAAGATATAGATATCTTCAATACATAGTATAAAACAAAGTCTGTCCCTATGTATGCTTAGATCTTTAAAACTACGCATTGGATATTGATGCGCTTTTTTTTAATTGATATGGTGATTTAAAAGGAAGTTTTTCTATTTACTCGTAAAATACAAGACAACGCGAGCGAAGCCTCTGGCGGAGACCAGACCAATAATAAAGCGTTTTGATAAAACTTTTAAGTAAAAAAGTATTTTTTTAGAGGAGATAAGTTACAGTATTGTTTTAAGAAGGCCCTATAATTTTCGTTAACTTTTGAATCGTGGCTTTTTACAAACTTGAAATTAAAAATAGGCATAAGTTGACCTCTACATCATTTGCAGCGGTGTGACAGCAAACAACATCAATGCAATAACAACTTAATTACCTTTTGAATTAGGTTTTATTTGATTGAACCTCTATACTCAGATAGCGTTGCGCTCGTCGTCGAGTTCCAGGCTGCCATTAAGAAAATTGACATTTTTTTTTTAATTTTACTTTATTGCTTCGTTTAACAAAATAATATATAAGTTTTTAGTTACGACTCGATTTCTTTGAGAATGAAGATTTGCAGATGCAATAAGTTGGTAATACATCGTCACAAGCCTGTTAAAAATTATAAGAAGTTACTTAGTTTAAACTAACGTCATGAAGATAAAATATTTAATTGTTAATTTGTTTGTATTGAATTAACCCCGAAACTAATTTAAATAAGTACATAGGCTAAAATTTACGAGGACGAAAATAGGCTCTATATTAAAACAAAATTTTTGACGCGCAATAGGCCATCTATTCCCCCATTTATTCCGTTGAAAATTATGATATTCTGTAAAACAATACATCATCGAACACAGCGCTGTCGCAATATGGAATGGTACAGTCAAATAAAAACTTTATCACCTATTGAAGTAGGTAAGTAGATGACTGAACTGTATCTGCGTTTTATGCTCTATTTTTAACAGAATAACTCGGCAAAATATCGACTGTACATGTAGCTACCAAGAAACCAGTGTCGGATTAGCCACGTAGCAAATGAAGCAAATGGTATGGGCCCCGCGCGTTTGGCGCCTCAATGATAAAAAAAAAACGAAATAAAATAAGCCAGACTTCTGCTTAAGCTCATATTTATAAGTATAAAACATAAACTGACAAATAAAGTTCAAGTCACAGATAAGTTGTGTTGTGTTATTCGGAAAGCAAAGGATGACTTTTCTGTTTCTTTGCAAAGTTACTTATTTCGATTATTCGTCGTGGTCATCGCAAAAGATATGTAGGTGATTGGAAGAATGCCTACAATTTAAACCATAAAGGAAAGCCTTATACCATAACATATCGTTATTTTGTTATTAAACCTCAATAACAAGAAGGCGTGTGTTGATACATTGAATGTAAGTCAAATTGAGTCTGAACAGTTGTATCGGTGGTTACTTTTGTAATTAAATGTTAAAAATCAAGAAAAATGTGTTTGTCAGAATATTTTTTTATTTTAATTAGACACTTAATCTCAAGCAAACCAAGGGCCCCTGAAAAAAGTTGCTACAGGTCCCGCTCTGGCTTAAACAGGCACTGCAAGTAGCATAGATATTAAATAGTGGTTCACATAAAATGTAATTCAATAAAAGTTTAAGTAAGCAATTATGTTTGGTAAATAAATACTCTTTATTTTGACACTTTAGCACTTAATTTAATTAACAATTCCATTTAAAATTTTAATGATGTAATATACATTAGTATCACATAGGTGTCACTTAAAACCAAACAATTAAAAATTATTTTTTTCACACCAATTCACAAGCGTCAATAATACGATTAAAACAAATATTTATTAGTTAAATTAATAGTAACTTTTTAACTACTATACGATTTAGTACTTAACGAATTTGTCTAACATATGGCAGTGATGTTATTTGTTCGTCTACAGACATCTCATCACCGTACCGCTGCAAGAACTCTAGAGCAACGCCGTTAGTCCAACCGAATCCATCTTGGACTTTATACTCCCCTCCGCTACCCTGATGCCCCGGCTGTACAGCGCTGTACTTTTCGAACATTTTTTGCCAAGTACTGTACCCTATGTAATTCGCCCTAATCCATATTTTAGCCTGCTCCTTAGCTAGGGCTCTGGCATCTTTATTACCACTTCTATCTAATCCACCTATTAAAATACTCTGCATAGGAGGCCAGGCGTTCGGATAATCCCACTGCTCACCGGAATACAATACCGATGATGGTATCCCTCCGGGAAAGTCTAACCCACCCGAATGGAGGAGATATTTCACTAATTTTTCGGCGTAAGCAGGAGCTGCGGACTTATCCACCGCACCTGACCACAATGGAGTAGCACAGCTCGGATAAAAGTGCCTTCTTGGCGCTTTAGCTTGTGCATCGTAATCATACCAGACACCGTCCACTGGGTCCCACATCACGTGATCTATCGCACTCCTCCAGTACTTAGCTAGACTGTACCATTTCTTTGCCTCGCGTCTATCTTTTAGACGACTTCGAAAATCACCAGCAAGTTCAAGAGCTCCAGCGAATATAGCGTTCAAATCGACAGGCAATATACGGGTTGCGTGAACATCGGTCAAATGGCCGACTACATCACCGGCCGTAACGAACCATCTAGTGGAAAAATCCCAACCGCTCTCCGCGGCACTTTTCATTTCTAAATAGAAATCTTCGCGCTGCTCGACTGGCAGTTCGAGTGCGTTCGTGTAGTCTTCGTAATAGGATTCTGGGCGTGGACCGTTTCCGTTTTCATCAGCTAAATATCTGAGCAGCACATATTTCTTATCATTAAATTTGACAATAACTTTCTTCTTGTCCAACCAATATTGAAGCTCTTTTTCCACCGTAGACAAATGTTGTGCAAGCCACGATAGGTCACCGGTAGCTTCAAAGTAACTTGACACCATTGCAGCAAGAAGCGGCGGTTGACTTCGACCCAGGTAATATTTCCTACTGCCATTGGGAATATATCCTAGTTTGTCAACTAAGTAAAGCAAGTTTTCAATCATACCTTTTGCAGTCTGCGTCATGTTACTTATAAGGAGACCGCGAACCATCCAAAACGAGTCCCAGTAATAAATTTCTTTAAATCTGCCACCCGGAACTATGAAACCATTAGGTATATACAAAAAACTATATCTATCTGGATTCTTGGCTACATCTGGGTCAACTTTTCGTCCTAATTTCGCCCAAATTCCAATAACATTTTTGGCAAATTGTTTTAATTTCGGATCTATTATCTGATCAAGTATCGGTGGTTCAGGATCAAAATCAGGTGGCATCCAATTAGATAATTCATCTCCCTCCAAAAAATGGGCGTCCACGAAGTTGGTGAGTTGCTCACGCGACGGGTTTTTATTGGTATCATGCATCAACTTTGAAAAATCAGCAAGTGTTTCATTTTCTGTTTGTATGAGTTTCAAATCTACGAAAGTTTTTGAATCTGAATATACACGTGAGAGTTGAACCTTATGCAAGAGTTCGCCGACGCAGTATATAGACGAGTTGCAGATGGGCATAATCGAGAAAGCCGGAGTGTACACAGTGCTCAGGAGCCCTAACACAGGATACAGAGTCACGTACCGAGTAAATTTTACTTTCAACATGTTAATTTATTGGGATTTTTGGTAAACATGAGTCGGCGCGCGGAATTCAAGTGCGGTAAAATAAGACTATAAACATAACCTTTGAACGCGTACTTCGAATAAGAGCGTCGCGAGGCGAGTGGCCTGCGGTGTGGGACGCGACCGGTACTAGCCGCATCGCGTGTGCCATAACTGATTTGTGTCAGCAGGCGAGTACGATGCGCCCTCCCTTCATCTCAGCTGATGCAACGGACGAGCCCCCGCGCTTTCACTGGGTCGCCGGCTCGCCGCCAACCGTCACCGGTCAGGCGTCAATACACACGCGTGCTAGCGTCAAGGCCCCCGCCTTGGCCTTATGCCCACTTCACGTGCTATTGTTGGTTTTTTATATATACAAAAAAATAACACACACGTGCCAATCTTGCGATAACATCGGCCATACTGTCAAAGATGAACGTGAAGTTATCTATGCCTGTTTTCACCAATCATGGCCTATGAGTTGCGCTACAAATTGTGTATTAGCCAATGAACATATATACTGTACCTTTAGGGCGCTTGTGCACTACACTGAATTTTCAGGTCCGGCGGCGGTCCGATTTTTTCCTGTCCGATATGTCAGGCCATATATATGTAGGTAATGTTAGCCTGTGCACTGTCAGGAATTTTACCGTCCGGGATTTTACTTTTTTCAGGTCCGTGATGGCGGCAATGAAAAACGTGTTTACGCTTTTGCACTGCTGTGTCCGCGATCCGGAAAATTCATAAGGGAAAAAATACTCGATTTGTGAAAAATCGATATTTATTTCGGCGATATTGTTAATTTCCAATAAACTTATAATGGATATTTATTGTTGATTATAAAATGCTATATTTTATATGATGATTTAATATAGTTGGTAAATATCACTGCTATCTATGCTTATATAAATATCTATGCTTTGGCAAACTCGGTATAGTCTGGTTGTTCTAGTATCGATACTTAGCTAGAATTTAGAATCGTATTAAAAGTATCGATAACTTAAGGTAAGATAAATAAGTGTTGCTACGTTTAGACGCCTAAACAACTGAATCCATCTTAATGGAAATTAATATAGTAAACAGACTTTACTTTTAGAAAGGACATAGGCTACATTTTATTGCGAAAAGTAGGGGATGAAAGTTTGTCTTGAAATTTGTCACTATCAAAATGTTTTTTAGACAATTGATAAGTATAGATAAATATTTGATAACAGAAGTAATAATAAAGAATGAACAGAAAATTAGCAGAAGTAATTAAGTGACACTCAATGTCTTTTTTGCATTTAAGTCTATATCGTAATAAAATTTAAAATGACTGTTTATGTTTTAAATTTATTTAATTTAAAAAAAAGAAGTATTCTAAGGGAAAAATATTTCTGCTCAATGAAACACCACGCGTTTAAAATTATGCCTATATATATAAAACAGTCAACTGATCTCGTAAAGTTCATTTAGCATATTAATTCTCCGTCTATACGGCACGAATTTCGATTTTGCGCCATTTTGACCAATTGCGCAACCGATTAGTCTATCTCTGTAATCGCTTAAAGTTGTTTTTACAAAACTTCGATAAAAATAGCATGTTTATAAATTTAAACATCAAGTACTAGACCATTATCAGTAATTTTATTCTAATGTCACAGATATTTTTAGCTATTGTATGTGAATAATGCTGTCCCTAAATTAGTAAGGGTATAAGTTTTTACATCTGATAGCAGTCATCCAATAGTAGTAAAAAATGCTTTCGTCTTGCCTCAATTTATTATGGTTTATGTAAAATGAACAGGTCATTAATTAGGTACCTTTCTACGTAATCGAACGCAATTACCGACCGACGTTCCAAAAATCTCATCTTACCTAGCGTAAGTGACGTGTAGCTTCAAAGAGAGCTGCCCTACATTGCGCCGCTCCGATCAGGAAAAAAACGGACAAGTGCACAAGCTACTCATCCGGGTTTTTCATGTCATTCCGGACCGGAAAAAATCGGACCGCCGGACCTGAAAATTCAGTGTAGTGGACAAGCGCCCTTAAGCTCGCGCATACGTATCAGAGGCAATGGGTATGTTACGTCACTTTAATGCCAGCTGTTTGATTCTTTTACGAACAGACGAAAGACAGATAAAGCATTGCTAATACAAGTTTAATTATTATCACAGGCATTATAATATTAAGTACACTGGTTATAATTTATCATCGTTTGGCAAAGTTTAATCGTTTCCAGTAACTAAGTAATTGATTATAACTGATAATTTTACTTAAATTTACGTGCATTTTATAAAATTGCACTTTATATTTAAGTATTTCTATAACGAAACAGAATGAACATACGGTTCATTTAACTTTCTATGACAACAAATATAAAGCGTTGCCAATAAAATAAAAACAGGCGCAATGTAGAGCCTTCACTTTGATGAGAGATTTTATCAGATTAAGAATTAATATACTATTAATTTTCCTTATATATTGAAATGAATTGAAAGGTTAAATATTAGAATTTAAATTCCTCATGAAAAATTAAGACAAGTACCTACTACTCTACATTCACTTATCGTATTTAATTTTTATAGTATACTGAACTTACATGCTTAAATTTACAAGAAAAGCACAATTCTCACAGAGGTTTTTTTTATGATCTAGCCTTACTGTTGTGTTGTAAGTATATTGTAACATTTATAAACGAATTAGCTGAATATTCGATCGAAACAATCGCGTTTATCAAACCTTTAATTAAATATTTTTTTAACAAATAAAATCTGATTTTATCACATGTATAATGTAAATCTGTTAAATGTAAGATAACCACGACATCCAAATCCAAGATAATATAGAAAAAAATAATTGGATTTATCTAAGCAAAGCGATACATGCTAGAAAGCTATTGAGAAAAGTGATTGCTACTTTAAATGTTACAAACTTCCATAAACGCTATGATGATCACTATATCCTTGAAAGTAATTGCGACAGATCTTAAAATTCAACATTAAGCACATATTTCATTCTAACTTATTCTTGTCATCTATACTTTAATCTATACTAATATTATAAGACGAGAGGAAAGATCGGATTGTTTGTTTGCTTGTATGCTTGCATCGAATAGGCAATGAAACTAATGAACCGATTTAAAAAAAAATCGCCTACGGGTAGCTACATCATACGGGGTTGTCATAGGCTATAATTTATGTGTGCGAAGTGACGGGAAAACAGCTAGCCACAAATAATGAGGAATGTTCGAAGCTCTTTCATTAGCTCTACAAATTAAAACAAAAACAATTGAAGACACAGCCTTTTTATTTATATGCTACTAAAATCATTAAAACAAATACTTAAATCTCTAAAATATTATATAAATACAACGCTTATAAATAAATAATTATAATTCACTTTATATAATTACAGCTGCTATACTATAATAAATGGCGAATTATTTTCACATTAATATACATTAACAATGTGGTAGTTAATTGCTATGATAATTAATGATATTATGACACAGTATTGCATAGAAACATCACATTGAAATCATACTACAACTCGTGCGAATAACATGACACCTGAGGGTCTATTCTAATTGTCCTCCAACTTGGAACTGGAAAATTTTACATCATTCTTATAATTTTGTTAAATCATATCCACGAAGATTGTCAGTGCCTCTGAGAGATTGTCAGAAACAAAAAAATTAAACTATTTATCGTTTTTTTTTTAAACTTTGATAGTATCTCCTGTGGTCTATAGTTAAGTTATTATTCTTTTGAAAGAACAATAGTATTATGCAGGTGTCATATAAAGTCATAATATTTAGATACTAATCTGGTATGACATTAATTATTTATATAAATAAAAATATACAGAATTAAAACAAGTTAAGATGGGCAATAAAACGGAATTCGTTTATTTAAGTAGTATTTAGTCTTCCTTTTAAATAACTTAATATCAACTTTTATGTACTGCAATTACTTAAATTTATTATATATTTTTTTTCTATTATCCTCTAGAAGAATGCACAAATGCATCTGCTATAGTATTCAATATTTCTGTCAGTTATTTGTACTTACAAATAGGTATATTGGTTGAAATATATTAATTTCTTAATAATAATATCACATATTTATGTACATACATGTTGTACACATTAAATATTGATAATAAATATATATGTACTAATTAAATTTAAATTAAACAAAACATGAAAAAAAATGGTGATTGCGAATAAGTGTTACTTACCTTATATCTACAAATCTAAATGCACAGACTAAGAATCTACTTTGATTACTTTTAGATGTTTTTGTTAGTCATTTGATTTGTTTAAAATCAATAGAAATATAAGTTTATAAGTATTAATAAAATAAGCTTATTTAGTTCCTGTATATGTATATGCTTTAAAATCAATAATTAAGGTTGGAGCCATGTATGAAAAGAATAATTTAAAACAGGAACAAAATTATAGCAATACAACTTGTCTTAAGTCTAAAAAATATTGGAATAATAACGCAGTTAATACTGTTAAATAAAAACCACGTTAAGGGGCTTTAGCTAGCTCTGTCTGTGGTCACGATTATGATGTGTCTAGTTTTACAAATATTGTTTCCAAATAATAATTTAATATAATTATGTCTTTTGAAAATAACAAATAATATTTAACAGCATATAATATGCTCAAGTATGGTACACTTATCAACAAAATGTAATATATGTAGTATCACAACCAAGAAACACTTCCCATGTATAATCTCGTAACTGCAAAAGGTATTTTATCAATTTTAGAGTACACATAAACAATGATTTTTAAATGACATTGATATCTATGAAATTTATGTTTAATTTAATAGTCAAACACGGACTGAATAAATAAATTTAGTCACAAAAATTGCAAATTACAGTCTAAAAAGCTTAGTTTGACTGTATACAGTTGGTAAAATGCCAATTGTAAAATGCATTTACGATATTTTACTTGGGAGATATCGAAACGTCCAATACAATGTAAAAAAAAAATGATCTGGGCTCGCTGGTTTTTGAAGAGAATGACAGTAAAGAGCCTGAAGAAATTGGTTGCGCAAATTAGGTTTTCATAAATAAAATAATAATTTTGCGTCCATTCACAAACAACGATAAATATGGGTTGTTGCTTTACTTAAATGGATATATAGGTACCGATTTTTTTAATATAATGGGTTTTTTTATTGTAATGGTAATAATAAGTAATATTTTTATGGCAACTATATATTGTTTTATTTTCGGGTTTTTTGAAAATAGTGCCATCGTACGGCTAGTATTTAAAGCCACTCCACTGTGACTGTGTCCTTGATAAATTTATTATTATGGTATTCTCTTTGTCTTCTTCTTCTAAAAATAATATTAGAATTTAATCATGTGAAGTCATTCTTCTTCCATATTTAGCAAGAAATTCTAATACCACACCATTGGACCAGCCGAACCCACTCTGGACTTTATACTCACCACCGCCACCGAACTGACCAGGTACCTCAGCATCGTATTTCTCAAACATCTGTTTATTTACCGAGAAACCTTTAAAACAAGCGCGCACCCACGTTTGTGCTACATGGAAAGCCACCTTCTTTCCCTCGTCAGTGCCAAGAGCCTCCAGAGCATTAACAACAATGCTGACTAGCGGAGGCCATGCGTTAGGAAAGTCCCACTGCTCCCCGCTCCTGATCAGCGACGAAGGGATACCGCCCTCAAAGTCTAGACCATGTGAGTTCTCCAAATAGTTGAGTACGCGAGCAGAACGTTTCCTAATCAACCCTTTGGACACTGCACCCATCCACAATGGGGCAACATTACTTGGGTAGAAATATTTGCGGTGACTTTTGTATGGCAAATCATAGTCGTACCATACACCGTCTGCTTCATCCCAGAGTACTGCTTCGATATTGTTTCTCCATTGTTTCGCTAGGTACGCCCAATGGGCGGCTCTCAATGGGTTCAAAAGTAGTGCTTGAAAGTAAGCCATATTTTGTAAAGCGTTTGCGAATATAGCATTCAAATCTACGGGGATAATGTCTTTAGTGTGAATAGTGGTCAGGTTTCCAGTGTTACTACCATTGTTATCGACAAACCAACGGGATGAAAAGTCCCAACCGCTTTCAGCTGCACTTTTTATATCAGTGTAGAACTCCTGCTTGCGTTCGTCTGAAGTGAATGACAACCCGGAATTGTAATCCTCATAATAAGATTCTGGACGAGGACCATTGCTGGGGGAAAAGTATCTTAGTAACATGTATGACTTATCTTCCTTATCGAATGTTATTATTTGAGTGTCCAGCCAATAACTCAACTCCTCTTCTAATGCCTTGATGTTATTCCTTAAAAATGCTATATCCATAGTTTCACGAATATAAAGGGACATCATGGCTGATAATAGAGGGGGCTGACTTCTTTCCTGATAATACCATCTGCTTCCATTGGGAACGTGACCCACGGTCTTCAAAAGCTGTATCAAGTTCTCAATCATACCTTTGGCGGTTTCCTTCATTCCACTAATCAGCAATCCTTCGATGATCCAATAAGTATCCCAATAATATATTTCAGTGAACCTGCCCCCGGGTATAATAAATCCGTGATTGATAGGGATAAAACTGAACCTGTCAGGATTTTCGAAAACTTGTGACTTAACTTTTCTACCGAGGCCAGGCCAAATTCCATTAATATCTTTGGCGAACTGCTTCAATTGTTCATCTCGAATACCAGTAAGGAAACTGGGGTTTTCATTGAAGTCATGTGGAGTCCAATTCTCGAGTTCGCTGGTAGAGTCAAAATGTTTGTCGACGAACGCTTGTAGCTGTTCTTTAGTGGGATTGCTCGTTTCGTTGAGGAGTTTTTGAAAATCAGTAAGGATTACCTCCTCGGAATCTCTCATGTGGAGGTCGACAAAGGTTTTGGAGTCGGGGTAGAGACGCGCCAATTGCACATGATGAAGCAGTTCACTGTCACAATAGATCGACCTGTTGCAAGAAGGCGGTAGGTCGTTAGCAACTGCCGCAGCAGTCACTAGCAGCAGAAGGAGGTGATACATCTGGAAAACAAAAATTAGACAACATCACATACTTGCTCAGATTTCAAATTAAGTAGCACTTGCATTATGGAAATCTGAAACATGAAGGTCACACTCAGATTTGAAACAATATAAATAAGATCATTTTCGACATTTGATCCGACCGTCGATCAAACCCGGGACCTAACCCAGGACCTCAGAGATCTGATGAGGGCTAGGTCGACGGAGATGCAAAATAAATATTACATATAATGCGTATATAACATCTTATCTATCAGTAATATGGACTCTATTTAATAAGACTAACAGATACAGATTTTGTGCCGACAAATAATTCAACGTTTATGTGACCGTAAAAAAATAATTAGTAATTGTTTTTTACACCTTAGTATATTTTGAAGAGGTCTTGTCAGTATCTGTAAATTATATGGTCAAGTGAACAGAATTCATTTTTTGCAAACAACAAGTTCTGATTTTTGCCAAACATATATCTTTGATGATATCATAGTCGAAACCCCAACTTGTATTTTATTAAATTATTATATTTAATTCTATTGGTAGAATTGACATAAAAAGTTATGTTAGCCGGTTTGCTTATTGCCATCCCAATATTTCGTAAAGGTTATGGTACCTATCATTAACTTTATTATACAAATAAATACTAAATAGGAAATACTCTATGGTCCACCAAACAGGTTATTCTTTTATTATTAGAAGTTTATACAATTAAAAATAGGCTTATTAGTGTAATATAAGAATTCCTGATGATTTCTTGTCATCGCGTAAATACAAGGTGTGGTTCGAAATAAATATGAAAGGCGAATATTTACATCGTCAGCCGATAGAAGAAGAATGTGGAGACACATTTGCCTCGCATGGCAACTTTTTAGCTACTGCTCCAACGGGCGGTCTCGCAACGTAGATAGACCAGCAATCCTAACAGGTAACTTTACATTAGCCTTGTTTGGGTTACATCGGATTCAATCAAAATGAAGTCTTGGTTCTATTCTGTTGGATTAAATACAGTATAATACAACGTCAAATACTACATCGAATTGATAGAAATTCAATTCATTCAACGTTTTGTATTGAAATGAAAATTTCTGATTGAAGTCGATGTCGACCAAATAGAAGCTAATGTTGTTTAGCGCTAAGCCTGTCGGCCTTTATCTATACTAATACTCTAAAGAGTTCTGTTGAAAAGAGGAAATTTAGTCTCACCTACGGAAACCTACATCATACGCTGGTACCATAGGCGGGTGAAGTTACGGAAAAACATTTAGTTCATATAATACGTATAATGTTCGAAACGCTGCTCTCAGATTGAAAACTGATCAAATAGACTTTCTTGAACACTCCATGAAACTAAAATGGAAATGGGCGGGGCATATAGCAAGATTAGAGGACGACCGTTGGACAAAAACCGTGACATTGTGGGAGGGCCCAAAAGGAAAACGAAAACGAGGTAGACCTTACAAACATTGGGCCGATGACATATCGGCGCAGGCAGGAACTCGGTGGTACACCAGGGCGAAGGACAGAAAGGAGTGGTCAAGGATGGAGGAGGCCTTTACCCTTATTAGGGATTCTCAATAATAAAAATATCAATGGATAATGATCAAAATTGGACAGTGAATAATTATGAAATTCAAGCAAATTTAATTTAATGATATACAAATACAACTTTTATTCTTAATAAAATTCAAATATTCTTATAAATGACAAATTAATAATGTATTTGTATTGAATAATGAATAAATTTAATCCTATATATTTAATCTTATAAAACTGAAATTTGTATGAGAATCAATAAAAGGCTTTTTTATTTATTTTTATTTAATATGTATAATGTATTACCGCTAAAAGTATACAGGATGACGGCGCCGTTTTGCCTTTTTTCCACGCATTCGCTTTGATTCTTTTTGTAGTGGTATTCATTCGTATTGTCAGTGTTCACATGCAAAAAGTTTGAAATCCCACATCAATCACAATTAGTTTTTTACTGGATTGTTTAAACAGGATTTGACTGAAAATATTTAGTTTGTGTACAGACATAACCATGAAAATAAAGTTTTAACCAAACAAATACGTAAGAAACATTTACATCGAACCGTGTATTTTTTAAATTGTGTTTCTACTGTCTTTAACGATTGTGTTAAGTTTAGATACTTCATAAATCACATATCATGATTAACTAGATATAAAAATATATATATTTAAAGGGAGGTCAGAGAGCTTGATGCGAATATTTAATCCTCTTAATGTATTTCACTAACGGCTGGTTTCTGATTTGAGAAATGTACAAAATCTCAAGTGATTAATATCAATAACTCAAGTTTTTTACTTTTCACAAAACAAAAAGTCCTAGTTTTTATCAAACTTGTATCAACTGATCATTAAAAAAATCTTAAATAAGAAACGAAAACCTGTTTAAGTGACGTTTAAATACAGTTCAAGCCGTGTTTAGATTTAAATACTCAATATGTAAGAAAGTCGCTTATGTTATTCTGTTTGAAACTTTTGGAATATATTTTTCACAAGGATATCCGCCATGATAAAGAAAATAACATTACAATAGAGAACCTAATAGTTTTTGTTGGAATCAGAATACAAACTTGACCTCACGTCTGAAATACGCATCATAAAAATATTTTACAGAACACGAATATTATATTTTTACATAAGTTGTTTCAGTTCAACTTATGTAAATATTACTGGAAGTTAAGATGTAGAAACTACTGGCTTGAATTTTATGTTGTTTAATTTGAGCTTTGGGTGTCATGACATTGTCAAAAGTTAGCTTAGGTTAGGTTTCTAGTTTGTTCCAGAACGAAATTATAAGGGGTCAAAAATTCTTGGGGGTTTTGTAAAGCGATGGTACGATTGTGTCTTTTGCTTGACTTGAACAGGGACACTGCCTTGCCCCAGATATAAGTTGGTACAAAAAGAGCCATTGATAGTCCAAAAAAGGCTACGCCAAACAATGCCGATTGATATTAGTATGTTAGCACAGAGTTTATTCTTAACACAAAAAAACAATCACAATTAGTACTGCCCATTTATTTCGGATCCGCAAATATAACTAAGCAACAGGCTGCGCACGACAGTCCTAAGCTTTAAAAACTTATCCGACTCTTATAAACACTAAGGCATTTTTTTTAATTTGCTTTGCTATGAATTATTTTGGTGCTTCTTTTTCGTAAATAAAGAATAGGTCCCCAAAACCACTCGCTTAGCTCGTATATTTTTATGCGTATTAAAAGTTATTGTATTGTGATTAGAGATTCTTGAATTTAGAATGACATAACATAAGACGTCAATTTGCGTGAATACGGTCTCGCTCGGGCCAGATAAAAAAAAATGTAAGCATACATTAAGTAATAATGCTAATTGATAGAAAAACATCATTAACCCCTCACCTGATGATCGGTCATTATATGACCGAACATGTAAGGTGAACGTTTGATAAGCAGTCATTTATGACTTCATCGTATGCGTTAAACTTGAGCATGTTTTCTACTCTCTAATAATTTTTTAATGTTTGTAGTTTCATTAGGTTAGCAGAAACTGGAGTTCAAAACAGACATAACTCATTAAAAATAAAATTGTTACGCCGCTCTACTTTTGGTTATAGTGAACCGCAGTAAAATCCTATACGGAAATTCCTCCTATATGTTAAAAGGTTAAAGAAGGTGAATTAACCTAATACCTTTTTCACACGCATAACAATTGATCATTATACAATATTTATTAATCGAAGTATTTATTATATATGACTTTTATAAAATATACAACAAAAAGAAAAAAGTAATACATTTGATTCATGGTGCCGGCCAGCCCGAGTGCCGTATCAAATAACATCCTCAGCGGTCGGCGAGGTAGTTGAAGGGTTAGTGATTAAAATTAAAAATAAAAGAGATATTCGTCTCCATTTAATTATAAGCCAAAGTCATTTGTTTTTCTCGAACTCGATATATTTACTTGCTATTGAAAAACAGAAAAATCTCTCTACACGATCGGAAGTATTTATCCATTGACTTCGAATACTTCTTCTTCCTATTGTGAAAAACAATGGGTACTTAAAAACATAAACCTAAGTGTCTAATGACCCTTGAAGTACTTATATGAGCTATATGACGTAGTTTTAAAGAATATTTTTTTAATTTATATATTGTATATCGTACTATATTCGTCATACTTTTCCTTGAAAATATTTCCACAAAACACTTATATAAACAATACACTTAAAACCTCATTAATAATCTTATTAAAACAATCAACTATGTTATTGGTACTCTTTGGTACTACACAATGGACATTTTTTTAAATCTATTATTAACTTTATTACGAAAAAAAGTAGGACTTGCAAATGTCAAAGATTAAAAATAAAATTAGCAAATGATTTGTTATGTACATATTCTTATAAAACCTAATACTACTATGTTATAAAACCTTCTGGATTATAACAGATACTTGCTATTTTCAAGTTTCAAAAATATGTGACATCTTTGAATCAAGTTATTATTCAAAGTTTATTTTAAGAATAACAAGTTTTTATAAATCTTATGAACCCAACCGCTGATAAAGAAAGGAAAGAATGCGATCCCTGATTCAAAAAAAAAATTGAAAACCATTACATTCGAGAATCCTCAGTTCTTTTTTTTTACTTTTTATCGATATCTAACCTTATTTATGATATATGACGTAGTTTTAAAGAATATATGAGGTTATCAGTTATTATATACACTGTATTTGAGTGGATTTTCTACAAATCTTCTATACTAGTATTATAAAGAGAAGAGATTTGTTTGTATGTTTGTTTACATCGAATAACTCCGAAAGTACTAGACAGATTCAAAAATTCTTTCTACTACGGGAAGCTACATCATATGCGATTACTCGAGTGACATTAACTATATTTTAAGAAAACAAAAAGATTTACTTACGATGGTATGCAGCGAGAAAATTCAAAGGATCTCAAGAAAACAAAATAGAACATAGTGTCCACGTAAAGATAATGGTATACTCATTTTGTTTGCATTGTAATAAGTACTACATCGAAATGATCGCAAAAGATAACAATCGACAAACGTACACGAAGTACTTATTTGCGATAAGACACGGAAAAAACATTGTATCCACTAATCACTGTAACAAATAGTATAGAAAAACTATTATTTTAAATAAATATGTTGTTACATTTACGCGGAGATGAACTGTTATTCTGAAATATGTTACAACATTATGTGGAACAATAAGTTACTTATTGTTTTATTCATATAGATTATGTCTGTAATCTGCATAAGCATTTAGGTGTCACATCTAAAAAATGCACTTCGACAGGTTCGAAAACAAAGTCGTTAAGAAATTCTCAGCACAAACTTTAAAATTGGTAATTAAGACTAATTGGTAATTTATGCAAACACAATTATACTCTAAGTAAGTACGATTCCTACTGATTTCAATCAATTACTTTTGAAAATCTGGCTAAATGCGAGTTTAAATTTAAAATCTGTAGACTTCTCATTTTATTTTCCTGTAATTTACCCGTAGAAGAACAGTCCCCTTTTTTATTACTGTAGCTTTAGAAAACTGGTGGAAACAGTCTTTCACTTTTTTCTTTAATAAATAAATTACTATCTTACACTTACAAAAAAAAATAGATTCTTGTTACAAATATGTGGTTCCACGTAGTCATGGAGTAACCCTAATGGATTTCTGCTTGTTTATAAAAAAAGTATGCCAATACTGCAAAAGTTGTAATTAGGATTTACAAGAGCAGAACTCCTTCGTCGATTTATTTTCCACGCGAACAGCATCATAACTTATTATAAGTGCGAAAGTAAATTTATATGCCATGATTTCAAGGCCAAGAGGTTGATTAAAATGAAATTTAATACAAGCCTGAAGAAAAGTGTCTTCTTTCCCAAAATATCATCAAATAATAATCAAAGACGTTTGTCTCAAGATAAGTAAGCTGATCAATTTACCAACCAAGGACATTACATTTCCTTTAGTGACACATATCACCTGTTCCTTCCTATCTAGTGAGCAAGTCCATTTTCCTGCGCACGCGCACGTGACGTCACGTATACGTCTACTCAACCATAGAGTCCGTGGCCTTCGCTCAAGGAAAAATGGGTTTACTTTTTTTTACTTTGTAATTCTACACGCCGTTTTTTTGTTAATTGCCAGTTATCTTTATCCGTATTTCTGACATAAATGGACAAGTTAATTGTTTTCAATAACAATGAATACTTATAATTGTGTCATAAGAAAAAAAAGCCCGCAGATATACATAAACTATTATATTTTTACAAGCGGCAACATAAAAAATTGAACACCATTTTCCTTTTCACCCCTGATATTTTTTACAACATATTAAATTGGCAAACCTTACTTACGCTATCTCAGTCGATTTATCACTGACAAAAAACTATAATCATTAAATTATATACTGTCACCATCCCTAAGTTACTAGCCAGTATATCAACTTTGGTATAATTTAAGCAGTTTTCAACATTTTAATTGTTTAAGTATAATAAATTAAAAAAAATCAAGCCCCAAATCAAGTTTGATAGGTAAGTTGTTGTAAATACAATTTAAAACAGTATTGTACAATCTGAGTAACTGTTGAGGAAAACATTGTAAATTTAAAAAAGAAAATTATAGATACAATTAACTACTAAATTGTGTCAGGGTATTACATTAATTTACTCTCTGGCGTTTATAAAAATAATTTAGAACATTTCTAAAGAAACTACTAGTTAGTTTATATTGGTGCAAAATCTGTTGTAGGTACATCACTAAAGAAAAAATAAATTTAATTTGGGTTTGTTTTTAGCGTTTTCTGTAGTCACATGTAATCAAAGAAAATCATTATATTATCATGTATATACAATAAAATATGTTTAATTCTGTTTCTTACTTATTTACACAATTGAAAACACAGTTTTACGGTACTAATTAATTTAGTCTAGTTTGTGCATCAGACTTGCTATCATTGCCTAGCAACCGTGTTTTTTTTATTTGTTCCCATTAAAATGTCTTCTCTTATTTTAAAAAAATACTGGATATATTGTGATGTAATATTGTCCAGTTTTTGCGAATATAAAGTTAAAATATAATATCTGTAACTATAATATATTGTTATAGACGAGGATCAATGTTATCATAAAATTTTTTAAAACACATTTTAGTGTGTTAAAATTTCTATTCAAAATTTATGGAATAATAGCATAATTATAAACTACGTACATAAGAACAACTACAACATACCTACAGATTATGTGCCTATATTCTAAATGAAAAATATTTAAAAAATCCACTTAGTCCAAGGCACTCTGACAGAATACGCTCTGAAGTAGCGATAAAGTGACAAGTGCTTGAAAGTTTCGTCATTCCTGTTAGGTCCTGAGTAGCTCAGTGGTTAGAGCAGTCGCCTGGATTGCGAAAGGTCATGGGTTCGAATCCTATCTCAGGGTGCCAGGGACCAAATAAATAAATAAATATTTAACAACATCACATACATTGCTCAGAGTCCAAGATGAGTAGCTAAAGCCCCCGTATTATGGAGTATCTGAGACAACGAAGGTACCACAACACCCAGACCCGAGTCAATATATAAAAGTTCATTTTCTACATTGACCCGACCGGGAATCGAACCCGGGACCTCAGAGATGGCGACACCTTGAAACCGGCGTGCGAACCACTCGGCTACGGAGGTCGTTAATGGATTTTTATTGTCAAAAAAGTTAACATTTTTCTACTTCGCACAATTAATTCCTACTTTTACCTGAATATGCAGTCACAACGGACTTTTAGTTCAATGCTATCGTATTTTAAGTCTCTACTAACGAATATTTATGGTTTATAGTCGACCGCGAACCTTGATCACTGTCAAGTATCAACATTCGCTAGTAGCTAATAAAAAAATTATTATGGAAACTTGACATTTAAGTTGAAATACGCTATGAGTAAGCGACTGAATTCAGTTAAGTTGCGATCGCAAACTGTTAAGACTGCATCTCCAGTTCTGAGAAGAAATGAGAAGAAAACATTTGTCCTACCAGTACCAGTAATAGTGGAAAGTAACCGAATGTGGAATACTATCCCTACCATTCAACACTGAAATTATTTCTTAAATTGTTTCCAGATTAGGAAAAGTATTTGGAAAATTTTCAATAGATCCTGCAAATCTGTGATCTGCTTGTGGATTCGTTTGACGTATTTCAATTTATTTTTCTGTAACTCAGAAAAGAATTTCAGCATTCATAAATAAGGGATAATACTCCTTATTAAGTTACTTTCTTCCCTTAATATAACATTACTTTCCCGAACTGCACTTGTATGACGCCTAACGCGATAAAATTTTTCAAAATGAAGATTTGGCAAGAACTTAATAAAAGTTAGTTATAGAAACTCAAATGACTAACCTTTCTGCAATAGAAGATTACACCTCGATAGCACCAATAAAATCAATAGTCTAACTCAGAGTGTATTCACTGAATGATTGCACTGTGCTATGGATAGCTCTATATAAATTCTGCATGGCGATTGTGACGTCATTAGTATAAAATGAATACGTGAGATGTCTTCATGTATCCACAGGGAAAACCTTTCGGGGGGCGTTCTATGACGTTTGTACTTTGTTTGTGTGTAAACCAAAGAGAATTTAAACAATAGTGTAAACAACATACAGTCCATCACGTAATAGTCATCGTTCGGACACACCTTCACTTTCCTGGAATCACCTATAATCCACACAAGTCAGTATGACATGTACTAAAAGATAAGTACGTACGGTATACAAAAGACTACTTCCAAACTAATATTACAAATGTGAAATGTCCCTAAATTACTTCGTTTCCAAGACAAATAAGACATCATCATCAGCCCATATTCGTCCACTGCTGGACATAGGCCTCCCCAATTGCACGCCATCTACTTCGATTTTCGGCTGTTCGCATCCAGCTCCTGCCAGCCATCTTGCGCAAATCATCGCTCCACCGCGCCTGAGGACGTCCTACACTACGTTTGCCGAGACGCGGTCTCCACTCAAGAACTCGTTTACCCCAACGGTTATCGGTTCTGCGGCTAATATGGCCAGCCCACTGCCACTTCAGCTTGCTAATCCGGTGGGCTATGTCGATAACCTTGGTTCTCTGCCGGATCACCTCATTTTTGATTCGATCCCGCAGAGAAACGCCGAGCATAGCCCTTTCCATAGCGCGCTGAGCGACCTTCAACTTGTGGACCAGCCGTGCCGTCAGTGTCCACGTTTCGGCTCCGTATGTCATAACGGGTAGGACGCACTGATTAAAGACTTTTGTCTTTAGGCACTGCGGGATCGACGATGTAAAGACCTGACGTAGTTTCCCAAACGCTGCCCAACCTAGCCGAACTCTTCCATTTACCTCGCTCTCGAAGTTGTTTCTACCTAACTGCAATGTTTGCCCGAGGTATACATATTTTGGAACAATTCCGAGAACGGCACCGCATACTGCAATCGGTTCCGGTAGTACGTGTTCGTTGAACATGACCTTGGTTTTATCCAAGTTCATCCGTAGGCCGATGCGCATAGAAGAGTCAGCCAGGTCATTCAGCATCTGTTGTAGGTCCTGCAGATTTTCTGCCATGATGACGATGTCGTCAGCAAATCTCAAGTGAGAGATGTACTCGCCATTGATGTTGATGCCACGTCCTTTCCAGTTCAGCGTCTTAAACATATCCTCCATTGCATTAGTAAACAATTTCGGAGACATAACGTCTCCTTGTCTCACTCCTCGATGCAACGGTATAGGACTTGTTTGCTGATTCTGTACTTGGACGGTCATGGTGGCGGCCTCATAAATACATCTTATCACTTGGATGTATCGCCAATCGACTTGGCATCGCTGCAGGGACTCCAGAACGGACCAGATCTCAATCGAGTCAAAGGCCTTCTCATAGTCCACAAATGCTAGACACAGGGGCTGATTATACTCTTCAGTCTTCTGTATAATCTGCCGCACTGTGTGGATGTGGTCTATGGTGCCGTATCCACTCCGAAACCCAGCCTGCTCCGGTGGTTGGAATTCGTCAAGTCTTTGCGCAAGACGGTTCGTGACTACTCTAGAAAACAGCTTATAGACGTGGCTTAGAAGGGAAATGGGTCGATAGTTCTTCAGCAGGGTTTTGTCTCCCTTTTTGAAGAACAGGACGACTACACTCCTACTCCACGCCTGCGGAGTTCTCCCTTCGAAGAGGACAGCATTAAAAAGCTTTTGGAGCTCCTTCAGTACCGGTTTACCTCCTGCTTTTAATAATTCAGTTGTAATGCCATCCTCTCCAGGGGCTTTTCCATTTTTAAGCTGTCTCAGAGCGATCTCGATTTCGCCAATGCTGACTTCTGGCAGATCTTCGGTGTAGTGGCGTGTTAATGTGGCTCTAGAATCCTCATTTCCGGGATCAGGTCGAGATGCATGCGAAGCGTATAACCGGGCATAGAAATTTTCCACCTCCGAGAGGACCGCTGGCTTCGAAGCAACGACTTCCCCGCTTGCTGTGGTCAACTTCGTCAAGTGGCTTCTTCCAAGAGATTGTACGAATACTTTTGACCCCCTGTTTTGCTCGATCGCTCTTTCTATAGCGTGAGTGTTGGAGCACCGGAGGTCATATCGTACGCGTTTGCTGATCTCCTGGTTTTGAGCACGTTTTCCTGACGAAGTGACAGGTGGGTTTTCACGTCGTTCCTTCATTAGCCCCAAAGTTCTATCGGAGAGCTTAGACTTCCCGCCCTTACGCTGCATGCTACAAAATTTCGTACCTTCTTCCCTGAGTATTCGAACCACATTTTCAAGGTTCTCGTCAACGTCAATTGTGGTTTCCATGGCAGCGAATCGGTTCTCAAGATTTGACTGAAACGTTTCAGATTCCATCATGGTTTGGAGAGGAGTAGGTCGGAGCCTGGCCTTCATCAAGCGGACACGTTCAGCTTTGAAGTCGATATTCAGAGAGCCTCGGACAAGTCGGTGATCGCTGCCGGTGTTAAACCTATTGATCACGGAGACATCTCTGAATACGTGCTTTTTGTCCGTTATAATGAAGTCGATCTCATTTTTTGTCACATTGTCGGGGCTTTGCCACGTCCACTTCCTTTGGGGCTGTTTCTTAAAGAACGAGTTCATAAGGAAGAGCCCCTCCCGTTCGAGGAAGTTAACGAGCATTTGCCCCCTATCATTCCTGCAAATAAGACGATGATCGAATTTTAGACCTTTGCCGTGAAACAAAATATAATGACCAACAGACCATCTAGACCCTAATTAATAGAGACAAAACGACTATCGGCTGGTGAAAAGTACAAAATCTAAACTGATTATTTTCAATAACTTAAGTTTTTTACGTACCACAAATCAAAATACTAGTTTTATCAAACTGCTATCATATTTAATTCTTATATTTAATTCTATCATTCACCATGTGGCGCCACGGGACGGCATGTAAGCTGAAGGCTCGTTTAATACTAGGCTTGACCTAAGAAACAGGGCTAATATTATCAATCCTATTCGAAATATGTGAATGAACTATTAACGATGATAAATTCTATATCATGTTTCTAAGTGTAGATTCAAAATTTTAATTTGTAAAGTTTCATTCACAAATAATAATATTCATTTATCTTTATCTGAATGTGTGCTTATGCGGACCAAAAAAATTATTACTTCCATAAATTATAACTATTTGTAATAGATGTAGTAAAATTTTATAAATATGTGGGCAATTATGTAGACATGGCCTAACTGGAAACTATTTTACAATTGAGGAGTGTTTAATTAAAATTATATTTATTTAGACGATTTATTCTGAACAGCACGACCTCATACGTCTATCTATTTATTAACAAGCCTCGCGTTTCAATATAGTTTTATCTTCAGTCTAATGAGCATTATTAAAAATAAATAAAACCGGATATAGAATCTCTTTAAGTATTCATCACAAAACATGACAGAGAACCATTCGTTATAATAAAACTATAGCATAGAAGTAACAGGAAGCTATAAAGCCACAGTCTCTTATAAATACGTTTTTTTATATTACCGCGTCTCATTAAGAAATAAACGATTTACATACATATGTAGATATCGTGTAACTGCAATTTAAGTGTAACGCAACCTAAAGTATAGTGATTAAAAATTTCTTATCCTTAAAACTAACCAAGATTCACCGAAGTAACAGACGCAGCCCTGTTTAAACTGACATTTAAAATGTCTTCTACATGGTTTTGGCACACGAGTTTTCAAAAACACTGGGCTTTGTCCGTCAGGTAGATTGTTGAAAAATATTAATAACGTATTTTTTTTCGTAATCATGTTAAAATGTCACATGTCACATGACGCACGCTTTGGTACATTTTCTCCTCGACTTTAATACCTGTTATCTAAGCTATTTCGTATTCAATTGAAGTAAAAAAAATACATATCTAATATTTCCTTATTATCGGACTGACGGACTAAATATAATTTCCTTTTTTTACCCAGTCGCCATCCCTATTATGCCAATCGATAATTTAACTAAATCTAATACGCATTTTCAACTCAAACGTTTCCGAAATATCAGACGATATATTACTATCTCAATTCTTACAGTAAAAGAAAATAAAGAAATCATGTTTTAAACCTTGTCAACCTTAGAATTTATGCATTACCAATCAACTCACGATTTAAGACACTAAAAATGTAGTTCATAGAAAAAACTGAATATGTTTTTAACATCTATCATCTGAAGTGTTTAAATAGGCTACAATAGAAGTACATACATCAATATTTTCTATGGCAGGTAAAATCTGTGCGACTGCTCGAACTGCACGCCCGGTTTGTGAAAGGTCATGAGTTCGAGTCCCATCTCATAGGGCCAGGGACTAAGTAGATTTATTAAGTATTTTTCATTATAGTAGAAATTTTATTAACATAGCGTAGAACATTCCATTTATCTATAGGTATATTTTATCTCGAGTCTAGTCGGTAATAATATCAGATTGTTTTTGATTATTATCAAACAAGAACTTTAACTACATATCTTGATATCCATATCAAAACAATAGTAAATAAAAATAGATTCAGTTGCTGAATGATACCACCAGATTAAGAAAATATAAGATTCCTAGAATAACAACTAACAATGAAAGACAATATACAATTCAACAATTACATGAAATATTTTAATATAAAAATAAACGTAAAATTAGCAAAAAAAAAAAGAAATAACGCTATTACAGCCAAAATACGCAACTAACCAGTTAAAATATGAGGACAAATGAATGAATAAAAACTATTTAAATAAACTCGTCTAAAAAGTCTCGCAATATCCTCAACAAGTATTGTTTAAAATCATAAAATATTTTTTTGTGATTTTAGGTCTTCAAAAATGTAACTTTACAAACAGCACACTTCACGTCTTTTTCTTATTATTTTTATTTAACAATTACAAATACAATTAGATTGCAACACTCATCTATTTTAATTATTTGCCATGATCATTTAAATAATAATATAACCGACAA